AAATTTTTAGTGAAAGGGAAAAAAATAGAACAAAATCGGGAGCTTGAAAACCCGGAAAAGTGAAGAACACGGAACTCAAAAAAGACCAACGCCGCCAAGAAGATTTGAATGAAAGACCCTAAAAACATTAATTGAAGCTTCAAACCTCGAAATTAAAGTTAAAGAACTTACGTTAATTGCCTCTAAACCTAGAAAGATCAAGCAACGAGTCCAAAAAGGATGAACTCAAAATCCGAAATGAAGAACACTAAAGAACATAAGGAACAAGTTTATTTAGAAAGGCCCAAAAATGCAGCAATTAGTTTCTAAAAAAAATCATTGATTTTCACACCCTCTCAAAACCGAATTCCTCTCCTCCTCCATGATTGGTTCTCTCTCTAACCGGTGTTGATGGATCGATCTCGTGATGGGCTACACGTGGGTGTGGTGTTTGGGGTCAAAGCCGATCGAAAAACGATAAGATTGAGAGTGTAATTTTCGGCTAGGTGAACGGGTAATCGGGTTTTGATATTGGGTTATGGCATGTTTGGTAATTTGTTTTTTGATTTTCAGTATTTTTTTGTGTTTTTTTCTTGGCTCTTTGTCGTGTTGTTTTTTTGTCCCCCTCTCGCAAATCGAATCCGAAAGCTTTTTATAGGCCGAAACCGCCTAAAATCTCTCGCTAAAATCAATTAATTCAAATTTTAACTATCAAATCTTAATTTTGAGATTTGATTAGCTAAAAATAAGGAGATTTAAATTCAAAAAATAGATTAGTAGAAGATTTCGACAAATCTTCGAATGATTTTAGGAAGATTCGGTATTTTTTATATATTTTTTGTATTTTTGTATTTTTTGTATTTTTTTTTCAAGGAACCCAAAATTGGGTTATGACGAGTGTTATGCATCACATGACTCTTGATTTCGCTAATCTCTAAAATGTTACAAATTATAAGAATATGGATCAAATCAAAATTAGTATGGTCAAGGTTTGCTTATTTCTCATGCTTGATACTCGCCTTTTATCCTTCAATTTTTGCTAATAAAAATTTCATGCTTAAAAAGGTTTATCATTTTCCTAATCTTATTAAATCTTTTTTATCTCGTCCAAAAATTTATCGCCGATAATTCATTTTTCTTTGAATTTTGGCCATATTATTATTATTATTATTATGTGAAGGATCAAGAGTGCCGGAAACCTTATTGCATAACAAGAGTGAGAATGGACTCCATTTATTATCGTCACCATAAAAGAAAGCATTTATGGGCCAAGGTGTTCCCTTTGCAACTTAGCATTCTTGTTTTGGTCATCCTTAATCTCATACTATGTAAAAAATAATCAAAGACAAGTAATTTAAATTGTTCTAGTCCATAAATGTCTTCTAGTAGTTGTTATGCTTGTCGATTAGAAAAATTAGCTAGATTGCCTTTAGTTTCGTTGAACACACGAGTTATTAACCCTTTGATATAATTTATTCAAATGTTTGGGAGGAAACTCAAGTGCCTTTTAATTTAGGTTATCGTTTTTTTTATAGATGATTTTACAAGGTTCACTTGGATTTATTTTCTTAAAAATAAAGCGATAATTATTCCATTTTTCTTTAATTTAAATCTTATTTCTATCGACAATTTGATTGCACAATTAAATCTTTCCATTAATACTAGGGTAAAGAGTGTAAAAAAATGCATTCATATTTCAAAAAAGTTAGTATTGTTCATCGTATTGGCATGCCCATATACTTATGAACAAATTGGTATTTTTGAATGCCAAATCTAGCATATTAGTGACACTCGGATTGACTATTTTAGCACATGTTGTATTTCTATTCAAATATTGGTCTTATGCTTTTCAAACTAGTGTTCATTTAATTAACTTAATACCCACTTCAATTGTAAATAACGTAACATTTTTTGAGCTATTACATAAGAAGAAACCAAAATATATAAAACTAAAAATATTTTAGTTGTATAACATATCCACTTCTATGTTTATATAATCAATAAAAAATTTCTTTTCGAAATAAAATTTGTGTATACTTAAGCCGGTCTCTTCATCAACATCATGATCACTTGTGTCTTAATTCTAAAATAGATAGAGTATATATAACTAAACATGTTAAGTTTGATGAAACTACTTTTCGTTTCGAAAACAAGGATGATCAAAATAAGAGTTGTACTTTTCCAAAGAATATAAATTTCAATCCATAGTTGACAATCTCAATTCCATCTCCTCCACCATGCATCAAAGTACCTCTATCTCTCCTACTTTCTCCTCATCCCCTCTACTTCTTCTTTATCCTCTAATAATCTGGTTTCCTCACCTTCTATAACAACAACTCCTTCTTATATATCTACTCCATCACATAGATTTACTCCTTCGTATATAATACACTCGTACCTTGTCCCTTCATGTTCTCACCATAATCTAGTTATCGATCTATCTAACTATCCCATTCAACTCGAAACTACCTCTCCTTCGACATCGCAAGAACCCATATCATAAAGATTCTTCCTCCTATAATGAATAAATGTCAAACCAATGTTATGATTAAAGAGAAAATGAACCTTAATTTCATTGAACATGAACCAAGAACATATACCTATTTCAAATCGTTTAGTAAATGGCAACTAAAATTAGTACACTTCTTGCTAATACTATTGGACTCTTATTCTGTGCCCTTTAAATGTTAACATTATAGGGAACAAATGTATCTACATAATTAAAAAAAAAAATCAAGATGGTCAAGTTGATAGGTATAAGACGAGGCTAGTGGCAAAGTGATACACGTAGGCATTGAAATTGGACTACGAAGATACTTCGGTCTTATTGTTAAGACCAAAACAATTCTAGTTCCTTTGGCTTTAGCAATAATGTTCGACTAGTTCATGAGGCAATTGGATGTTTCTAACACTTTTCTTCATGGACATCTTGATGAGCAAATTTTTATTGAGCAACCAAAGGGTTTCATTGATCCGTCTTGTTTAGACTTTGTTTGCAAATTGAACTATTCTTGATGGGACTCTAATTCGTGTTTCACTCCTATAACAGTCTCTTCTTCTCTATAAAAAAACAAGTGGTAATTTGTTGGACCATGGTGATCAAAATTGAAAATTGGTTGGTGCCCTTCAATATATTACTATCACTATAGCATATATAGTTAATCAGCCTTATTAATTCTTGCATAATCCAACCGATGAGCATTGGAAAGCATTAAAGAGATTATTTCAATACTTGAAAGACACTCGAATAAAAGGTTTGATCTTCAATTTCAATTTGAGTCTTGATCTATAATGCTATACCGATAATGATTGAGGAAGTGACTTGGATGATAGATGATCCACAAGTGGTTATGCTATTTTCTTGGAGTCATTATTGGTTACCTGGATGGCTAAGAAACGACTTACAAAATGCTCGCTCCTCTACGGAGAGGGAGTATAAGATCATTGCAAATGTGATAGTTAAGGTAATATGGATTTATTCCCTCTTTCCTAAAATAGGTTTTGCTATTTCTATAAAAATTTTGTGATATGATAATATTGGTGTGATTTATCTTACGTCTAATCTAGTATTTCATGCTAGGTCGAAGCGATCGAACTTGACTATCATTTTGTGAGGGAACACTTTGCAAATGATGTTCTTAATGTTCGATTCATTGTAACTAAGGATCAAGCGATTGGTATCCTCACCAAGCCTTTCTCCAAATCTCATTTTCAATTTCTCTTTGTTAAATAGTGGAGTTTGATATGGATGGGGCTTGTTGTTTAGGGTGCTTACACATACGACGAAGCCTTCGAAAGGTCTACGGAATATTAGACTAGGTGTATAGATCTATAAGCCCTTTTGTTATTATAACTCAAGTTGTTCACACTATAAATAAAGACAACAATACTTATATTTGAAGCCTTCACTTGATAAAACCCTAATAAGAGATCTTAGTGCGATACTGTGGAATAGGCACAATTGTCAAACCACATAAATTTTTATATTATATGATTGTTCTTGTCTTCTACTTTATTTTCTTATTTGATTCATTTCATAACACTCGAGGACAAGCTTCACTTGCAATATGCAAATGGGGTGTTGTTACGTTAGTATTATTAGTATTGATTGATCTCTTTTTAAACTTTCAAATACTCGTTGTCTTTATCCCGTATTATTACAAGGACTTATCACAAATATGTACTACAATTATAAATATAGTTACATCAATGAAACATACAACATATTTTTAAAAGCTTTAATATTTTACAATTTTGTGATATATATATATATATATATATATCAAATGTACATGCTTCATGAAAAAAAAATATTGAGTTTTTTTTTTGAAAAAAATTGGATTCAATTTTTTTATTTAGATTATTATTTAAGAATAAATGCGTACAAAAGAATAAATCATGTTTTTTTTTTCTTGAAAATTTATAAAAAAACATAAGGAAAAATAAATTAAATACAAAATTTTGATAAAAAAGCTATTAAATTTATTATTTTATTTTATTTTTAATTCGATATATTTTAATAGATCCACATTATAATATTGAGTTTCAAATTGAAATGATTTTATCGTACCTACCTATAGCGTAGCAACAAACTAGTATTCAAGCTATAATGAAGGAGTAAGTGGTGCTTGTGCAACAAGTTTCTAGATATATCCATCTCCTTGGTCCTAATTGTTTAATTTCTACCTTAAACTCTACAAAGTATAAAGGAATTCATGAAGCATATACAACGTAGATTAATTATGGCTCACACCCAATTTGTGGTAACTACCATTTTAATGGACTAGACAGACATGGAAATGCTTAACCGTTAATACAAAGTGATTAAGTTTTTGATAAAAAGACATTTACATGATTTTGTTACTTCCATCATTATATCACTATAACTGATGGGACTTACAAAGGGGATCGTTCTCAAGGCCCTAAAAGTCGAATTTTCATTTTCAAATTGATTATGCTTATCAAGGATTCTGTTATAATGAATTGGAGATCATTAATCTCATAACTTTTTTCAGAAAAAAATGTTAATATATGCTTGTGGATGTATTGAGCCATACGTTCATGACAAAGCTTACAAATTCAACCCAATTGTAGATGTTGGGGCCAATAAAATGGGTAGGAAATTCATAGAAATAATTACGAGGGGTATGTTGACAGGACTCCATTACGGAGGTGTGATTATATATTTTATTGTGCTTTTACAACTTTTATGATGAGTCTTTTGTTTCATGTAGCATTTAGAATGAGACGACTCTATTTAATGGATAGGATCATCTAACAATCCAAAAAACCCTATGGTTAATAGGGATTTTATTAGGCAATATAATATATATGTAGATTGAATTCTTTTCTTATAGAGAAATAGATTACATTTTCATGATAATATATAGATTCTGAATCATGATCGTTTTAACTAGTTTTATTTGCTCAAATTCTTGACGAAGAAAATACTAGAATTTGAAATTTTATCTGAAAAAAATTATCATTAGATTAAGGTCTGCCACCTATAGTGTATTGTTTTTTAAAGATATTCTAAATTCAAAAGTCTAGACTAATTATTCGTTATTTGATTAGATATATAAAATGGATACAACTATTCAAAAAAACTTTTACATATATAAATATTTAAATCTAAAACTACTTATTTAAATAACTAAAACTCTTTCTCCTTTAATCAATTTTTTAAACTCAATATAATGCATTTTCATCGACACCGCCCTACAAGCAAGATTAAAGTGGCTAATGTCAATCATCATATACAGTAGATCTGCCGAAGTCTAATCGCAGTTGCGAAGAAAGTTCCTTGACCTGAAAATTCAAATAAATAAATAAAAGAAAAAGGTAATGCAACAAGAAAAATCATATTAGCTTTTTGACAAACCTAGCCCAAACTAAACGACATGTTTGAACAGGGCAACATGTGTGGATCTGGAACCAAAAGAGGCATGTCTGTCTGTGCAACACAAGCAACAGAGAGAGATCTATCAAGTCAATTCGAACGCGTTATAATTGATGTGAATTGGACCCCCCACTGAGAACCTCAGAAAGCTCTCATTAACACGGGGCTGAGTCGGAGCCAACTCATTGGAGATCACCATTGCCATGCCCTGCAGGACCCCTTTAGCTAACCTGTGAACATCATGGCACCCATTTTTCCGGCCCATTCTTTCTCAATCAATACCTCCCCCATCTTACCTCCATTCATGCCTAGAGACTTCCCTGTTCAGCTCAGCAACGTTCTGCCCATCCATATCATACTACTGATCCTCCTATAATTTCTTACACTGGCTTCTGTAGGCGGCAGACCAATGAACAGTTGACACGAATTGCAACATGTGCCCATTTGGTCCACTTAAAGTTGTTGCGTAGAACTGCAATGGCCCTCCAAGAGGTCATCTCTTTTAATTGGTCTTCTCAACCCAGCTTTGGCACGATGAGATTGCCCGTTCCTGATTAACGACAAGTACATCTAGTTGATATGATCAGATACGTTTACAACAAAATTTCCTCTTTCTCTTATTTATTTATTGGACTTTTAATTATAAAATAAAATAATTTTCTTTCATTCATACTTGACAAAAAAAAAACTAAAGTAAATATTCATTACACTATTTGAAACGCTGCTTGTTCATATTCAGTCATACTATTTATTCAGAATTAGATACACAATTTCTTTCAATATACAGTGATATTTTTATAATTTTTAAATATTTTAAAAATATATATTATGAAAGTTCTTATAATATTATACTTTAGACCTTTTTTTAAAATATTATTTTGTAATCCCTAAATACCTTTTGTTTTATTTGGGTTTTTCTTTTTTGTTTTATTTTGATCACTTTGTTCCTTTCTTTTTGTCTTTATTTTTTAATTAAAAATTTTAAGACAAAAAATGATTAGAAAAAAAATTTCAAAATAAGTTTTTAGTTAAGATCTATTGATTTTTATATTTTTTTATATTATTATAAGTTTTTTAGTTTTTGAATAGAGATAAATAAATAATGCTTTAAAAAATTATGAAAAATATAAAAAATAATCAATCAAATCTAAAATTTTGATTGAAAAATTATAAAATTGAATGAATTTTTATTCAATTTTTTGATATATGCACAATATAACATAGAATATCAAACTAACATAATTTTATGTGTTCTATCCGATCCGTAATGTAACGTAAGTAAAAAAAAATTAAATAAATTAAAATTATTGAGACTTGAATGTACGTCACATAAAAAAAAATTGAGTATAACCCTAGAATTTTTTCTCCTCAAATACATAATATATGAAATAAAAAATTCGAGAACAAACCAACGATCTATTTGGTCAAAAACCTCAAGAATTGCTTTTGAAGTTGCCTTTCATTCAAATGAAAGCCATTATTATAGTGCCTTGGGCTGTGAAGACTTTGTTGTCTTTGGCATTGTTCATGAAAATATAATAACACGACAATAAAAATCCATTAAAAACAATCTTTGCTTCTCATTCATAAATTTATAAATTCAATGCTCTCTCTCTCTTTTTAATGAAAAGTTGTACACTTTCTTTTACTCGACCTCCTGTTTACAAATGACGTAATATGATCAAACCCTGGTTACTAAAATGTAACCATTTGATGGGAAAGTAAAAATATATATTGGTGTGGTTTTAAATCAATAATTAATTAACTATATGATTCATACAACAGAGATTAGCCACGGGATATCCACTATTAAATTACATCATGATCAATCATCTCATACAACGACACATTACTAGTAAAAACCTCTTTTTCATTCCATCAATCTATAAAAAGAACCAAAAAAAAAACCCATCAAAATTGTCTAAAAACTTTGTTCTCAATCATAGTACTCTCCTTAGTGATCAAATGGTAGAGGGGCTCTAGAAAGTATTAGTTTTTAATTCGTTTTCAGTATATATATAGAGATGTTAGAATTAGTACCTACCAGGGGTGCAATGATAGTCGATGTCCCCATTGAAAGAAGCTTGTGTTTCACACCTTACAAAAGAGTGATTGTCGTCAATAGTGGTGGAGAAATAGACATGAGTGAAGCTGAAGAGTTTGCATATATATATATATATACAGTGAAGTTGAAGAGTTTGCATATAAACAGTGTGTGTAATGATTTGTTTAGACGTTTATAGTATTCAAATTAATTTTTCGTTATTTGATCAGATATATAAAAACGAATTTAATTATTTAAAAAAATTTTATATAAATAAAAATTTAAAATTGATTTTACTTTTTTAAATAACTAGAGTGTTTGTAATTGTGTGTATTAGTGATTTAATTTCTTCTCGATCTATTCACCGACCATTGTGATTAATGACAAAATTAAAACTCCTTAAACCAACATAAATTCCAAAGTTAATCAGGCTGAGATGATAGTATAAAAAGGCGTTCGGAGAAGGGTCGATGTCAAAAAGGGTTAAGATCATAATAGGACCCCCCAAAGGATCTGCTTTTGCTAGTTACGCAAACTCTATCTGCCTCCACATTTTTTTTGCCTCTCCTTCGTAGTTCTTTTTTTCGAAAATATTCTACATATTTTATTATTTTAACATGTAGAGAAAGGGAGCTTGATGTTTAGCTCCAACCGCCCCAGCTTTGAGAGGTAGTGGTGGTGGGGACCCAAAGGGAGGGGGTTCGATATGAGTTCAATGATGCGGTCCGCCGCATGATTGGGTGGCCAAGGCCGACCACCACCGTCCTACGTGTACTAAGTGTCCACATCTCTAGCCATCTAGCTACTAGTCCCTCTACAGTACCTAGCTTCTCTCAGCTCCCTTTCTGTCTTTGACAGATGTTTCCACAGTTCCCCACCCTGTTATATTTATAGCCCCTGCACTATGCAAAGGAGTGCGATTGCAGAAAGAACACAGAGTACAAATTCTCAAGCACGGAAAAACGAGGCTAGTATTAGCTAGAGAAACGTGGATGAGCTAGTTATATATATATATATATATATAGCTAATTTGGATTCAATTGCAAAATGTGGCACAAAAGCCCATTTAAATTGAAATTCGAAAAAATATAGGGATTGAAGTGTATAGAATTCGAATAAAAACAAATTAAAGAAAAGAATTTTGAACTAATTATTGGATGGTAAAAACTGTGCAATTATTAATTAATATAAGAGGAAAAGTAAAGGCTCAAGGTAATTTCGGCATTTACACGACACGTGCACTATGCTTGATGAAAAAATTACTCATGATTTTGCCTAAAGTCAACAGATTCTTAAGGCACAGACCCATGCGGCCTTTCCATGGCACGCAAACCTCGATCTTTCTACAGTGCTATAGCATGCAATGCTCTCTTAAATCATGATAATCAATTAAACCTTCTTTTTGGGCCACATTATCTCAAGCCAGTTGATTGAACCAGAACTTGAATTGCCCTTTTCAATTCTTTCTTTTTTAACATTTTTCAATCTGACAAGCTGCCATTGCCGTTTCTAGCCGTGATCATTGAGGACTATAAACACTAGCTAACTAACCTTTAGCCCCCAGGTCCCAAATGTAGAACATAAGGAATGTGAATGGCAGCAGCATCTCTTTCGTTTCTTGGTGGATGCTTTAAATGAACCTATTCCCTTGTTTCTAGGTCTGCCTCATACATGGCATCTCATAATTAATGCCTAGGTGTGTATATATATATATTGGTCAGATTGTAGTTTTGGATTAGTTTTTGTGTACCGAAATTGAAAATCCATTTTGTTTTTTTTTTCCAAGTCTGATGGAATCAAACTATACCAAAATTAGAAATTTATATGTGAGAATTTTAATTTTCATAATCATGATCTGGCATGAGATTCGATAAACTTTAAACTTCAATTCTTTTTAATTATGAGGTAAATTAAGCTTGATGAATACAAAACGTAAACCTCCATGAACTCTGAAAGGACGTGGATCACCCCATAAGTACCTCTCATGATTATTTTTGAAGGTACTACAGTGGGGTGACCACGCTGAGTGTTGCTCAAAACTAGCTAGCTAGCCCACCTTAATCAAGATCATCTAAAACGATATTCATTTCTCTTTTGTGATCCCTAAATAGGAAAGAGCATTAAGCAATACTAATTAATAGTTTTAAAAATTAGTATAAACTTCATCTAAAGCGATAGGTAGAACCACAGTGAGATATATGATCATAATAACTTCGATGCACAGCATATCATTTTTGGAAAAAAAGTTGATTAATCTTCCAATGTTTATCTTATAGCATGATCACAAAGAATCATAAGTATTAAATTTAGTGGGATTCCATGACGACCACTGTAATATTTCTCAAGGATATCTCAGGCCGACCATAGCCTTTTGATATATATACTAATACAAGGATAGATGTCAACTTGAAATTTGACAAAACCTTATCAGTCGGTGGATTCCCCATAATCCAAGTAAGCATGACACTTGAAGAAAAAAACAAAAGAAGAAGGAAGGATTAATTATATATTATATAGTACCATATGATTTTTGCTAACTAAGAATCACATTCACAATTTGAGATGGGTAATTAGTTAGGTGAAATCAACTAGAAATGATTGTTTCAGTTTTCAAATTCAAGTCCAGATTTGCCTTCTCTTTGATTGGGAGCATATCATATGAAATGAAGGAGACATTTGGGTGTCAAATCTGATGCTAACAATGGGGGTGAAAATCTTTTAAAGATACTTGAACTCAGACGGAAGGGGAAGACGAAGTGGGGGTCCTCATGGCCTTAGTACATAAATTTTTGTCTTTTGCTTTGTTTATCTTCTACGTAAAGTACATTTGTCATCCACCAACCACTGACTGACACGTAGCTCCCACTGTTTTCCTAAACGTACGTTTTCCCTGTCTTTCTACTCCTTGCCTTCTCCGAAATACTTGTCGAGAAATCATTTGCAGGCCGTAAATTCTTTGTTTCCAAATGACCAAAACACCCTCGAAAGCGACGCTAGACATATCCCATGAATTGATGGCAACGTCAGTCGGATTGGTGTTCAATGGATAACCATTTGGTTTTTGTGTTTTGAGCCTTCACGAACCGAGCAGGAGTGTCAAATAAATCCCTCTGTTCAGTTTAATCTGTTGGCTCCCCCAATTCTCTTGTTTGCTCTTTACAATTCCATAGATTTAAATTATATAAATGTAATTTGCAAAACGATTACTCAATAAAAATAGGTTTCAGTGGTCAAATTATTTTTTGATAATAATAAATCGCTTCAAATACTTTTTTTCTTAATTCCATATTAATTTTTAACCGAGCAGATTAATATTACAATCTAATATAGGATTACTACGTCTAATAAATTTAAAATTTAGTTGGATTTTTCATTATTTATAATATTTTTATTGTATACGATGGATGATAAATATATTGTGTAACAGGTGAACACATGCTATATTTATCGAAACAGGAGTAAATTAACGGACGATATTGATCTTTTTTTAATTAATTTACGATAAAGGTCAAGGTCCTCGGGTAAAATCAGAAATTTTACAGGCTATTAAGGGTCGGGCCCAATCTTCATCCCGAGTCCTGCTGTCCGTTTTACCCGATATTGGGGGTGTTTTGGTAATTTGATTTAAAACAAAGCCATGTAGCCGGGAGGATCGGGGTGGATCGCTCGGCTCGAACGGGCGGTCATTTTGGCGGCAGGTTGTCGAGTTGTGCCATCGTGGCAGGTGTGTCAGAAAGATTGAAAACGGGAAGGTGAAAGATAATGTAAGTTATCGTTTGCTAGGAACGATATTTTGATGATAAATTGAAGACAACAAGAGTCTTTTTGGCAGACGAACATTCAGTTTTCCTGGATGGTAGCTGTCAAGACAAGACAGAACAGGATAAGAAAACGTCATCTTGCCGTATTTAAAAGAGAACGAGTTACATTGGTCTTTGCTTTGCTTTGCTTCCCAATTGGGCAGAAGTCGCGACTTGCTAAGTAAAATAATAGTTTAGACAATTCTTGACAAATTAGTCCTCTCATGTATAATATTTTTCAATTGGGATCTAAATGTAATAATTATTTTCTTCAATTAGGTTTTCAAAAGTTCAAAATACTCTACGTAAATCCCTTCATAAATGTAGTTGAATAGAATCACAATTCTCGATTTTTAGAAATTAGACCACTATTTTCATGCTATCACATATTATTCAACTACATTTTGAATCAAAGATTGATTCTAAATTGAATTATCTGGATGAGATTTTCTTTTTTCTTTTTTCTTTTTCTTTTTAAATAAAATCACAACATTCTATTGTTTTTGAAGACTTATCTAGATATAATGGAAGAACTGAAACATGCATGCTTTATAACAATGCAAGTTAATAAAATCTCTTTGAACAAATTTTCTAGCTCCATCTATACGTCGAGAATTGTGAAATTTCTTACCATTTGAATGCCTTTTACTGTTTATAACTTAAGGAGATTTTTTTATTTATTTAATGATCGTTGCGTGTTTAGATAAATTCTTTCGTATCGAGGCATTTTTTTTATGTCGATATATAAATATGTAATTTACATCAAGTCTAACATATATGTTAACGAGAAAATTTTGTCATAACTTCTATTTAATTCAAATCGTTAATAATAATTAGAAAAAACATATTCATTTACCATCAAACATCATCAATATCTAACTAACCTTGAATGATGAATAACTTTTTTGTATAAATGTAATGAAGTGTGGGTTACTTAAATAAGATGTTTCTTCTTCTTCTTCTTTTTTTTTTAAATTAAATTTCCAATCTATACTGAACATATATTATGTTATCAATGAAATAATTACGTTATTCACAAAAAAAAAAAAAAAAAAAAAAAAACTCTTAAAAAAGAAAGAAGTCACATAGAGAGACTAACAAAATGAACTCATTTTGCACGCTTGACAATTAATCGAACTCATTCTTCTCAAAATAGAATTAAAAAAAAAAAACATGCATTCTCTCTCTTTTTTATTCCTCCGTACCAAACCCACATTTTGTTTTTGTTTCAAACAATTTTCTTATGATATTGTACCAAACCCAACTTCAGAAAGAAACGATGTAACATCAGAAGAATTCAATTAAGTACAACGTTTGGTGGTACCTCCTCTTCTTCTTCTTCTTCTTTTTTTTTTGGTGGGGGCAAAGTTGGGAGTTGGCAGAGTAACATTTGAACAAAAAGTTTAATTTCTCACAAGCTTCAAGGAGAAACAGAGAGAAATGGAAAAAGGTGATTAGAGGGGTTTCTGTAGGAAGCTAGGGGTGACGTAAGAGACTGGGGACAACCATCAACCACGCGCAATTAAGCGGTCCTCCCCTCTTCCCTCCTTTTATATTCTCTCCCATCTTTCACTCCTAACGGAATTTTTCTTCTTTCGCATCGTCAATTCTTCTTCTACCACTTCCTTTTGTCTTCTTCCTCTTCGCTCCTGCTGTCTTTAAGTAATTTAATTTTAACAAACGAAGCTAGTGCGTACAAAATTCCTGAGGTAAGCTTTTTGCACTTGCATGGAAATCAATTCACATCCCTCCCGATATTACAAACATTATAGTTTTTCATTACAAATTAAATGATGATGTGCATATATAGAATCTAGCTAGCTAGTTTCTCTCGTTCTTTCTGAACAATTTAAGCTAGCTTTCACATGGGAAGCTGGGAAGGTGCATTTTTCTTGCATCTCCTGGAAATATTGAAAAGGTTTCTTAATTGATTTTCATGAGCTTCATATTTTGAAAGGGTTTGTTTCTAATGTAAAACCTTTCTGATAACCTCTCCCTATCTGTCTTTCTCATTAGAGTGAGGTAGCACATGCACATCGTATAATTCCCTAGGTATATCGCTTTATGTCAAAATCCATTTCGTCCAAATTAACTTTGGCATTAATTAGAAGATCAGGAAAGGCGTCAAAGATCAAACACCTGATTACGAAGACCAAGGTTTGGTAAAAGATTGTTAGAAAGTTCATTTCTTTGCTACTAATATAGGTAAACCCTCAAACTCACCATTCTCACCTGAATTATTTTCCTTATCCTTGAAAAGACTATACGTTCAAAGGAGTCAGTTGATCTCTCCCTCTCCGTCTCTGAAAAATACCACCTTGACAAAATAAGCGCACCCAATTATTCTTGACTATTATATTAAAACTGACTCCTTGACCAAAAAAATTCACCAAGCTTATAGTAGGTCATTTCCTCGTTTCTTCTTTTTATTTTGAATGCTAGGATGAAGAGGCTTTATCGTATATATCCATAAGCATTTTTTTTCTTTTGTGGAGTTCTGCATTTTTTCTTGGAGTTTTACCAAAAGTAAGAGGGTCAGTTTCTGCCATGAAAATTCTCGACAAACAGACAAAACGGTCAGAGCCCGTTTCTGCATTAATGAGACAGAGACTGTGCAGCAGCAAGAGCGCCCTTAAGAGTGCTTTTCTTTTCTTCACTCTCTTTTTTCCTAATCCTTTCCCTCTATCTCCTTGCAGGCATGATCCAATAAGAAACTGTGTCTCTCTTTTTGCATTCTCTTAAACCTTTTTTCTTTCGAGAAACGCGTGCTTTAAAATTTGTGACAACGTCATCCTCTTTGTCCATTTGGCAGTTCTCTACTTTCCAAACAAATTATTGTAAAACCACACTAATCAATAATTATTTTTTTAATCATGTTGTTTATAGTGTTGTAATGGAAACCCCGTTCTCGATGCATCATTTCTACCATTCACTAACACAAGACAACATCATTAGTACAAGCCTTCAGCTGTCCGTTTCTTGATGGACCCTGTACAAATAGGGGACTATCTAGCTAGCTAAGCTCCAACTTCCTCTTGGTTTTTATAAAAAAAAAAAAACAAACTTTTTCATGATTTTGTTTTCTTTTCCTTTTCACATTCATTCCTCTTCTAACCTTGACGATAAAAAAAATACTAATTTTATTTGAAACAATTGATTATGGGATGTTTTGTTTTACAAGCACGCGCTTATTTTCCTGTTATATATAGATAATATATATGGTGAGTGTTCCTCACCACCAAATGAGTTGATGATTATACCTGATACCACTTGTCACCTTTTTATTTGGAGGGTCCATTGGTTTTTTTTTGGCTTTGTATTACTACAATTCTAGCTAGCTTCCCTTTTTAGCTTTTTATTCTCTGGTTTTCTGTGATCCCCCTAGTGTCCTTATATAAGTTCATTTATTCACTCACATTTTGTTATGATGTAAAGATGATGAATTAGAGAGCATTATTATTGATGGTAATGGTGGTGGTGAATTTTATGCAGCATCATCAATAGTTGTTATGATGGAGTCAATGGAGTCTTGTGTCCCACCTGGATTCAGGTTTCATCCAACCGATGAAGAGCTTGTGGGCTATTATCTAAGGAAGAAAGTTGCATCACAAAAGATTGATCTTGATGTTATTAGAGATATTGATCTTTACAGAATCGAACCATGGGATCTGCAAGGTATTTTAAAGTTGTAGTCCTTCTTGCTCTTTTTTTTCCTCCTTTTCCTTAGGGTTAAATATAGATCATATAGAATATCATTTAGTTCATAGTTCATATGGATCATGCATGTTAATTAGGGTTCGATCTTGGTTAGGATTAGTTTCGACTATCCCTTGATCTTGCTTATTAAAAAGTTTCTGCAACCAAAACACTTTAATTACTGCTTGGCGTAAGTCTACGGAATTTAGTGGATCAAATAGGGTTGCACTATGCATTGAATGATTTTCTTGAGGTCATGCTGACATCATTGGCTACCCATGTATAGTTAAACAATATTCCTTAGAATAAACTTGAGTCAACCTAGATAAAACTTTTTTAGGTGAAGTTGAATGTGGAATATCGTTTGTCATGTACAGAGAGATGCAGGATCGGATATGAAGAGCAAAATGAGTGGTATTTCTTTAGCCACAAGGATAAGAAGTACCCAACAGGGACAAGGACTAATAGAGCAACCATGGCCGGCTTTTGGAAGGCGACCGGGAGAGACAAGGCAGTTTATGACAAAACAAAACTCATTGGCATGAGGAAAACCCTTGTCTTCTACAAAGGAAGAGCCCCAAATGGGCAGAAAACTGACTGGATCATGCACGAATACCGGCTTGAATCCGATGAGAATGGTCCTCCACAGGCAAGCACTTCTCAATTGATATTTCATACCATATAAGGTTGAAAGAAAATTGTCTCCGTCTTCCAACATACTAATTAGCTTTGAACAAGATCTCCTTATTGACCTAATATGGAACTTTTTTTGACATATAAGAGTTTATAAAGAGGGTTTAGGGATCCATTACTTGGACAAGATCATTAGTGCTTCATAAATTCTTCTTATTACCTAACTTTTAGTGAAAATAGATGGCCTTTAGATTAAATTATTTTCTACAATCCGACTTTTCAACTTATAAGAAACAGATCAATCACTCTTTACTTTTGCATGCACAGGCCACTAACTGTAGTTTCACTGTTTATGTTCTCTAGAAAGAAGACCTCCACCATCACTTAAGTCAAAAGGTCATTAGTAATTTTAAAGCATGTGAAATAGCTTTCTTCCAATTCCTTTTCTGGTACGGGCTGCCTTTCTTTGCTCATTTTGTCAAAAGAAAAATTCAAATTCTCATCCTTGTTCATCATCTTTGACTACTACCTCTCTTTATCAAACAAAAAGATAACTCAAAAAGCCAAAAAATTTTACTTTTGCTTTGAACTTAACTTCCTTTATGCTATAAAAGAAAAAGTTTGAAAAAATTAAAACAAAAAAGATCTCATCATCTCTTAAAACTTTGGTTAAGTTATTGCAGGAAGAAGGATGGGTAGTCTGTCGTGCATTCAAGAAGCGAACTACCGGCCAAAACAAGAGCATTGAAGGGTGGGACTCAAGCTACTTCTATGAGGAATCGAGTGGGGTTAGCTCAGTGGTGGATCCTATTGATTATATAACAAGGCAACCTCAAAACTTTTTGGCTCAGAATTTCTTGTGTAAGCAGGAGATAGAAGGAGATAGCTTAAGTTTTATGCACTCAGAAAGTTTTGTACAGCTTCCTCAGTTAGAGAGCCCATCACTGCCATTAATAAAGAGGCCAAGCTCATCAATCTCTTTGATATCAGAGAATGACAACAGTAACAATGAAGAGGAAGACCAAAATAGAATATCGTCCAACAACAACAACACCACCCAGAAAGTAACTGATTGGAGAGCCCTTGACAAGTTTGTTGCTTCTCAGTTGAGTCAAGAAGAAAGATATGATGGTGATGGCGTTTCAAGCTTTGTTGGGGCAGAAAATAACTCAGATATGTCATTGCTGTTATTGCAAAGTGGAAGAGATGAAGAGAACAAGTTCAATGGATTCTTAAGTTCAAGTTCTGACTGTGATATTGGAATATGCATATTTGAGAAATGAAGGGAGGGGTTTTAAGAGGTTTTTCTTACTTGTAGTAGTACTTCTATAAATGTTTGATGAATCCTGATGAGATATATATCTATATATATTTTCGTAAAAATATATATGGTTTTTCATGAGTGAAAAATTAACTCTCTCTCTCTCTCTCTCTCTCTCTCATAGAATTATAGATCAGAAACTAAGTAAAAAGTTATGAAGAACTTTAAATGACTCTTTCTGAAGCATGCCTTGCTTGGGAAGACATATCAATTCAAGCCATAGCTAGCAATGTTTACTAACTTTCATTAGTTGCAAGGTTTGTTTCGTGGTTAATGTGGTTTGTTTTTCTTGTTCTTCTGAGTTTTAGATTTTGAAATTAATACTTAAAAAAATTTACTAAATTCTTCTCAATATATTACATCGATAGGAAGGATAACGTCATCTAAAAAAACTTACTTTCGATTAATACGCAAACTAATTCAATAATACTTTTATAATTGAACCATAAAGAAACATAACTTTACATTAATAATTTTCTTCGCGGTTAATTATGAAGGCAAGATATCTCTTCTTGTGGTTCATTAATCTGAACCAATTCTCAATTATCGCAAGTAAGTGTTTATTTGTTGAGTATTTTTCAGAGAACTAGGTAGAAACAAGTGAAAACTGTTTTAATTACTAAATATACTAGTATATATTTTCTTGAAAATGCGTGAAAAACGGAAAATTACATACTAAAAGTTCTGTACCTTCATCCTTTTGCAGTTTTTTTTTTTTTTTTTTGGTATATTGGGCTGAGAGATGGTCAATTTTAGAACGGAGATGAAAGAAGAGAAGACAATTTGGAAAAAATGTTTCCTAAAAGTAAACACAACCAACGTGCCTTGCCTTTTTCCATTCCTCTAATGAACAGTGCAATCCGTAGGCATTTTATGATCCGTTATAAGTTGTTTGTCTGATCTTCACAATTATTCTTTTCTAATTACTATTGTTGAGATTTCTTTCTTTTTTTTTTTTTAAATTTATTATTATTGACAAAAGATAAGTCTGAATTTGAGATCTATTGGATAGAAGAACAACATTAATGACAATTGAGTTACAATTCAATGGTTAGTGGGTGAGTATATATTCATATTATCATTCAAGATTCGAATCCTAAGAAGGTTATTTTTCTTGTAAATACAGCAGATGTGAATGGTTTGTTTTGGACCGGATCGAAAAGAGATTTAATTTTTATATGTAAAAGATGGTATGAGAGTATGCCTTCAACAAGTTTATCTTAAAGTAATTGGTTTGAAAACGAATTTGTTGTAAAACATTTTCACACACAGAAACAATATTCAGAGCATTGTTATTATCTTTTATTGTGGTCTTTTTTTTTCACTCTTAATTCAAGCACAACTTGCTCTTTTTGCTATTTATAGATCTTTATTATTTTTATTTTTTGAACTCACACATCCAACACACACTCAAGGCTTCTAATAAAATTAATTTATTAAGATTTAAAATTATGAAGGTCATTATTATCAAATTACAAGCTTTTTTGTTAGATCTCTCCTATTGTATTTGTTGGTAACCTATACTACTAAAAGCTAAAATCGAAAATTTTGTTCGGTTTGAGTTTAAAAATAATATTTGATTTTGGAATGTTGTTTGCAACATTAAAATAATTATTTTGGAGTAATTTAGTGGCCAGAATGGTGAAGTTTTAATGGTAAATAGTGTCAAAGAAAGCCCTAATGCAAAAACAATCAATTAATATACAAAAATCAAAAGGAAAACAAACCTCTAATAGCTGTAAAAAAATGTTGATAATTCAAGAGTTTTCTATACGTTTTAGCAAATTTTAATGTGTATGACAAGGATCCCTTTATGAAAAAAGAAAAAGAAAAAAGACGTATACTCTTACTCCTTGGGAAGCATAAGTAAAAAAGCAAATAAAAATGTCATGAACCAATACATGTAAATTGAATTATATTCTATTGCGATAAGTGCACATGGAATTATGAAAGACGGATTTTGAGCATTTGGTTGGCTTGATAGAGGCATGATCAGGACCACCTTATACATTGAAAATAGAAATATTTATATTTAGAACGAAAATGATGATGTTTAAGGATCGGTAGAAAATTTGCCAACAACTAACTCCTTCACCACTTGACAATAACTTGTTTGTATTGCTGACTTATACTTAATGTGATACAGTTTGGTTCAATAAATTAAACACCATAATTTATATTTGAAAAAAAATCTCAATTAATATCTAGAATATATATACGAAGCCATGACCTTGGTGTTATGTTATAGGATTTCAAGAAGGGAAAACAAAATCGTTTTTTTCAAGAAACGGATAGAGAATCCATGCAAGCGATTCATCAGAAAGCTTCTATTCCCCTCAAACAGAAGAATCATGGGATTTTTTTTTTTTTTTAATCTTTTTGATCAGTTGAAGAAATGTGTGTCGAGAAATTAAGAATAGGAACAGGAAGACAGAAGAAGAGAGAGGTGAGGATCGAGCATCTAAGTGTGGGCTTGGTGGGTCCATGGCTTGTCTAGCATGCGTTATCCCGTTGGGCATGCTCTGTCTTTATTAACATTTTGACCTCTATTGCTCCTCTCCTCTCCTCTCGTCGTCTTAGCTTCATCACTGCAAACTGTGGGATGATCATCATCATAAAAACAAACTGATCATATATAATACTTTCTTAATATAATTTCATAAGTTATTAAATATACTGCTAACTTTCTCTTTTTAATTAATTTCTCTATCCTACCTATGATTCTTGGAGCATTAATTTGTTTGTTTTTGTCAAAAATGATTCTTTATTTGGACAAACAGATACATTTGCGACATGGGGTCTTTTCGCACACTAGGTGGACCAGAGTCCGAGACGGTCCAGATTAACATTCTTAATTGGGTCCACTTGATATTTGTTGCTAGTGTTGATGCATTAAGGACACAGTCCACTCGTTTGATTTAACCTACTCCTGCCGTATTAACTTAGATAATAAATGAGTTTGATTCCCACATCTTCTCTTAACCGAATCCAGAGACTAGGCTTTTTTTTTTTTTTTTTTTTTCAGTTGGCAGAAGAGAAACTTGAGTTAGATGAGCAAAAACTAATTTAAAAAATTCTTAGGATAAAAAAAATAGAAACATGATTATAAGATTTTATTGGGTGTTACTGAGTTTTATTAATCTAAAAAACTAACACAAACAGTGAAGTTTTTTCTCATATTTATAACTAAACATCTAACTTTTTTCACAATCGGTGTGCGATAATACAATAATCTTTTTCTTCACATAAGGTCGTAAATTAATTATTTCTCATCAACTTGTATGACATAAACACATGAGAAATTGTCTAACTTGAGCTCCATTACCGGTGTTTAAATGCTATTGGACATTCTCAACTCTAAAATTTAGTTCAAAGAGTGAGACTTTTTCGATCTCAAACCCATAATTAAGCATCCGACTCTTTTTACCATCGACGTAGAATAACACAACTGGACTGACATATATGTAGAAAATAATTAAGCTCTCAATATAGCATGTAATAGTTTGTTGGGGGAGCATGCAGTGTATAAACATACACGTAACATGATGTATTAAAGGTTGTAATTTAGGACATATCATATTTATTAACCTTCTAGAATTCAAAGCTAATTCAATGATTTCAAATCCCCAACTAATTGATGTCCAGAACAGAGAGCGAATTGAAAGGAAGCAACTCCACAAGTAGGACCTGCTGGTGCATCAGTGTCAAATGATAAAAATGTGTAGTCAAAGAAATAACTCACTTTCAACATGGATTCTCCTGGATGCTCAGATATTTCTCCTTTGCCAAATTTAATGGCCAAATCACATACATTAATTTCAGTGATTGCATATATCACCTTTCAAAAACATTTTGGTTTTAACCACCAATAGCAGTGTGCCATGTCACTAATTAAGTTTTTATTTATTATTATTATTATTTTTTTTTTTTTTTGGCCTTTGATTAGGAATGATTACTGCACTTTAGTCTTCCTAATGATTCCGTTTCTATTCTGCATTTTTAAGTGGTGTGAGTGAGGTGATTGATAAGCAAACAACAAGATAGACGTTGCACCAAATAATAATCACTACTGTCTTCTTCAAAAGCCATAATGTGCAGACACCTCCACAGGACGACCTGTAACTTGACTCAAGCTACCATTACTTTAATAAGCATACTTGTTCTCATATTTCGGCACCGGGGTCCATGTGCTTCCAAGCTTCAGTCTCATTGAATCATATGGTTCTTTTTTGAAAATACAATTAGATTCTTGATTTTTTTCCCCCTTTTTTTTTAAGAAAACAATTAATTGGGTTCATAAGATTTGAATTTTAGACTAAATTAAGTCGCTCCATATAATTTCTTTACTAATTTACGTTAGAGTAGCTAACAAGTTGGGGACATTTTTTAAGGTTTGCCCTATTATTTTCCATGGTGGTAACATTAATTGCAGGGGCTAGGAACCTAGGGCACGTTTTGTACGGCATATTTATAAAGGATCGGACCAATCACGTTCTACCAAATGAGTACCAACGAAACACAGTTTGAATAATCAGGAGAACAAAAGGAATGTTGTTCATTGCGATTGTCACTCTGGATTGTGGAGAAATATAAAAAAATGAAACACATGCTGTCTGGGTTTTGGTCGGGGAGTGTAACGTACAAGCTTATAGGCCAACCAAGAGGCTCCACGTAAAGCGGTCTTAAAGCTTTTTAGAAGATGAGCAATGGATATCAATTAGTCTAATGGTTGACCAAAACAAGCTACCTTTTTGTACAACGATGATGCCAATGATGGCACGCAACAAAACCACCATAACCCCGTTTTTGTAATTTTATGTGTTTTTTTTTTTTTTTCATGCAAAGATAAGATAGGAAACTTGAAAAGGTGAATTAAGAACGAAACACCCCCCCCTTTCTTGTGCTCCGCCTCAAGAATTACTGCAATGAAAATGTGAAATATATATCGCTCTCACGCACACAGACACGAATATGGATTGTGAAGCAAAACTACCATTCATCTTGTAAAGTTTATTTGAAAACAGCTCTATTGGGAATTGAAAACAATGCTTATAAAGAATGTGAACGGAGACTAGTTCTGAGATGCTATGTTGACATGCTCAAAACAGTTGACCAGCATTTAGTGGGAAACAATTACTAAATTTTGAAAAGTTTTGTTGAACTAAAGACCAATTAAATCAAACCCAACCAACCATGATCTAACCACAGCCAAATCTAAACTTGGGTATTATACAAATCAACAGGGAAATTGGGCATTTGACTTGACACGGACTCGTAATGAATAATGAATACATTGAGTATAACTTAACTCCTCCCCTACTACTGAAGAAAGAAAAACCTAATTAACTCGTGTCCTTTCATCAAATTTGTTGGTTATTGAAAGGCATTGTACTACATAAGGAGAGATATTGTCTCTTTCCCTTATTCTATGATATGACATGAATTCTAATTCTAATTGTATAATGATTTGACAATGGAATTCTCGTGTGCTTAGGATTGATTTTATCTAGCACTGAACATCTTGTAAGATTAGAATTATTATTAATCCTTTATCGATTAGGACTATGACATATTCTTCATAAATATGTGCTAACAACAGTTTTGTAAAGAATTAGACCAAATCGAATTGTCCCATCTTTTTTTCAAGACTGGTTGAAACTTTGCACCTTTAAATTCAAAAAAGCCAAAGCCTCCCTTACATGTTTTGATGAAATACAATAGTTCCAGCCCTAGTTTTGGTTAGGTCGAAACTTCCTAAACATTGAAAAACCCTAACTTTTATTGATTTTGGTGAGATTTTGAAACTCCACTACAACCTACCTAAGTGATTTAACTTTAGATGATTTAGTGAAATTTAAAACCCCACTAAACCCTTAGTTAGAGTTAGCACCTCTTTGTTGCCCTAATGTCATTACCTCTATTCAGACAAACTATTTTGTAAGGATTAGGATGATCAATAAACAGTCTTTCCGACAATAATATAAGAGGTTTGATACCTTTATGGTTGGTAATGGCTATAGTAAAGGTAAATACGATAAAAAAACAAGCTATGAAATGGATCTGTTGGTATTTGAAAGATACTTCAGACACTAGCTTGGTTTATAGGAGATATATTGGTTGTGTTATTAGTTATGCTGACTCCGATCATGCTAGAGATCTTGATCATATAAAATCAATCAAAGCTATGTATTCAGCATTGGTAATTGTACTATTAGTTGGGAGGCCACTTTATAATCTGTCATAGCATCGTTTACCATAGAAGCAGAATACTTAGTAGTGACTAAGCTATTTGACTTAGTTTAGTAGCGATCAGGATGTGATTGTTGTGTATTGTGATAGTCAAAGCCATACATCTGGTTAGGGATCGCATGTTCTATAAGCGGACAAAGTATGACGATATCAGCTACCGTTTTATCCGGGATCTTACTAATTTGGATGATATTGTTATGAAGAAGATTGGTATTGTGGATAACAAAATTGATATGTTGACAAAGTCACTTCCATTGTTCAAGTTCAAGCATTGCTTGGACTTGATTTCTATAATCGGCGACGACACTTACCCCTTAAGGGTTTGATGGAAAACATGAAGAATTTTGATAATTAAATATATTCAAATCAAATTGGAAATTTGTTATGACGTAGATAAAGATTTGACAATATAATCCTTATGGGCTTAGAATTGGCTTTGGCTAATATTGAAACCTCGTAGGATTAGGATTGTCACTAACATATTCTTTACAATTATGTGTTTATGCTTATTTTTCTTGATATTCGAATTGTGTGCTCTTGTAAGCTATAATCTGCTATGAGGTTTGGGTGTATGTAGAATTCAGGTTTGAGAGTTCTCTAAAACCATATTGATTTCGACTATCGTAAACTTTCTTCTCATCACTTGTGGAAACATACATAATTGAAACAAATAAAATCATTATGATTATTACTATTATCATCATCATCATCATCATTATTATTATTATTTTCTGTAATATTTTCTATAACCTTCTATAATTCCTCTCGTTTTTTGAATATATGAGATTCGGCCCTTAGGTTACTTGATATTATCTCAAATAACTTTACTAGTTAAGCTAGCCGCTAAGTACTCTCAATTTATATAACCTAAACAATATTAGTTACAACTTGCAAACTAGTTAATAGATTTACAAGTCAAAAAAATTAATTTATTCAATTATATAGAGAGAATATTTTTCCTGTAATGCTACAAGGAGGTCCCTTTTGCGTAATATCCTCAAATTCAATGAACAAAGTGGACAATCACTATTGTCGGCCACTTTATGATTCAAAAGTCTCTCTCAATTCTCAAGCCTCTGCTTTAAACACACCAAATTCAATCCCGGATTCCGTTCTCATTGATCCATTCCCCATCACGCCTAGTAAATAAAGATATAATTACTACTTTGTTTATATATATATATAGACACACACTTTTTACGAGAAGACTTACACTTAAATCTAATAAGACATGATCAATGACAGGATGCCACTTAAATTATTCTAATTAAGAATATGATTAGCTTAACTTAGCTCATGCTTTATTTTCGGATCGAAGCACAATCCTGTATGTTGAACATAAATAAAGCTGGGCAATGTGAGATTTTCCTCATATTATTAAATTTTGAGTGGGCAATGATAAAGAGATATCAACCACTCCTTGATTTTGATGGCTTTGAACTTGTAATGCTAAATACCAGTATGTTTTGGTAGCCCAAAAAGAAACCGACCAACCCATTCTTGAAACAGAAGGTCCATCGTAGACAAGCCATGCCATTTTAATCGACCAAAGCCCTTTTACAAGTTATGTCCCACGTCTTTCTGATCGAACTATAGTATATAAGTATCCTTCAAGTTCATTGAAAGCTAATTAAGTCTAGTTTTTAACCCAACTAAAAATTGCTAATCCAGATTCCTGAGGGATCTTTTTGCCCCATAGGCAGGGTAAAGACTATTTTTGCTCAAACGTAACGTAAGAGCTCCAAGGCTTAAAGTATCCTATTGTTTTTTCCTCGTGGCCCAGGCCCCTTTTCAAGTTACGTCCCCATATGGCAGCCGGCACGTTGCCTACGTTAGGATCAACAACCAGACGGTAAGCTCAAAAACGTTGACAGAGAGGAAAACGAGGAAAAAGAATACAGAAGAAACAGGCAGGCCAGCTTGTTGACTGATGAGACAAAAACTGGATGTCATGGAAATTTTGAAGAGCACGTTCGATCTCTAATACTGAAGAATGTGCGACAAACACGAAGCAATTTGAAGTTCAGCCAACAAAATCAGTCTACAGATGAAACCCTAGCAAATTCAATCTCAATTGGCACAGCTTTCCCATTCCGGTCGAATTGTTCTAATTAAATGTCAAGATGGAATAGGTAGAGTTCTAAAACTGTTGAAAGCTTGCAAGTAAGAAAATTATTTAGGTTGCACTTTCAATTTAAGGCAACGCGATACAGGGCAGAAACGATGAGGACCCAAAAAGATAAATTGCAACTGCATGATCTTGCCTAGAAAAGCCATCCTAACCAGACTTCAGAAACATCATAGAAACGCAGGTCACCCTGTTTAACAAGATTTTACCCTACTATACAATCCTAAACACAATTTCCTATCATCATCACTCATAGGGGCATGCCAATGATCTTAGAAAAGAAATTTATAATTGGTATAAGTGAGTTTGTGGGAAAATAGCATTAGGATTTCAGCAGTGACTTCTTTTGATATAAAACAAGCATAAAAGCCATCAAATTCACAGCTAAAAAAAGTGATGTATGTCTGTATGGGAAGAAAATGAGGCAAGAAAGGGTCACAAGAGATCAATGCAACACAAGCAGGAAGTTAGGAACTCAGATTCAGAATTAAGGTAAAGGTCAATACTAGGGATCAAACATCATATCACAGCTGTCATATTAAACATTAAGTGAAATCACACGAACATTAGTTTGAGTAGATTACTAGCAGACAGCAGTTCATATTAGATCAGGACAGTAGAAACACATTAACAACAACATAAATACAGTACCTAAATGAAACAATGTCAACCTTTAGGCCCTTTCGCCACGAATTCTCCTGGCAAGTTGGATATCCTTAGGCATGATCGTGACCCTCTTGGCATGGATAGCACAGAGATTAGTATCCTCAAACAAACCAACAAGATAGGCCTCTGCAGCCTCCTGAAGTGCAAGAACAGCGTGGCTTTGAAATCTCAAATCCGTCTAAAACAAAGAAGGAAAAATCAGAATGATCTTTTTAAAACTAAACATGAAAAGGGAGAAACTACAGTCAGCATAGAAAAATAATTTACCTTGAAGTCTTGTGCAATTTCACGGACAAGACGCTGAAAAGGTAGTTTCCTGATCAAGAGTTCAGTGCTTTTCTGGTACTTACGGATCTCACTGTTAAAAAGAAATGGAGTTAGGACTTAGGATCTTAAATCATCACAAAAAATAAAAAATAAAAAAATTGTGCCTAGGCAATGATGTTTAGAAAAGGAATGAAACCCTTACCGGAGAGCTACAGTTCCAGGACGGTAACGATGAGGCTTCTTGACACCACCAGTGGTGGGAGCAGACTTTCTTGCAGCCTTCAAAATCAAAATAAAAAAGACGATTAAAGGTAAGTAAAATCCATGTGTATTTTTTGTTATCTTTTTCTATAACAAAAACCATAAATCATAAAAATCCGCCACACTCCCCTGCTACAATAGTAACTGAGACACAATTTATTCTCATTGCATTACTGGAGCCAATGCCATACATTCTATTATAAAATGAAAATTCAAGTAACCAGCGAAGGTTTACTTCCACAGCGAAGACCTTAATTTATTTCTCGAGAAATTTCACATACGGGAAAGTTTCTAAAATAAAATTCAGATAATGTTTCAGATATCGTCAAATCAAACGAAATAAACTTCATATACAAGCTTTCCCTCTAATTATCTCTATATTTTGTTACTAGCGTTGTATATTTGTTTCCTAAGGTCGTATTTTTAAGACGCAGAAAAAAAAACACACACACACACACACAGAGAAAGGGGGGAGAGGACGTGCCTTGGTGGCGAGTTGTTTGCGAGGAGCTTTGCCACCGGTTGATTTGCGAGCGGTTTGCTTAGTACGAGCCATTTAGACCTGCCAACGGAAACGAAGAACAATGAAAGTTATAGTCAAGCTTAAATGGGTTATTATCTACTGAGATTGGAAAGAAAATTGAAGGATCTAGGGTTTGCTTTTACCTGATAGGGAAGAGTGGCTCAGAGTTTTCAATTTCGAATTTTCGAACTAAAGGGAAGGTGAGGGAGATTAGGTGTAGGTTTAGTATTTATAGGTAGATTTAGGGCTCTATAAACGACGGCGTAGGAGTTTCATTGGCAGGTAGAACCTTGGTTTACTATTAATGAGTCCTTTCCTTCTCTTGCCAGTATTTTCTGCCCATTTCTCTCGGTTTATACTCTTTTGAAAGGGAGAATTCACTGTTTACTATAATCCATCCTTACAAAACTTGGATCATTGTGTTTTGGTTTAAGAATTAGGACATTATTAGATTAGCTTTTCCCACATCTGTGTTAGATCTTTTTTTTTCCTTATTGAATTTTAAGAAAAAAATATTTTCTCACAATTTTATTTTTTTAATCGTAATAAAATATAATAATATGATAAGTAAATCTATTAACTATCTAAATCAAATAATAGATTTTGATAGATTTTCTAAAATATGATTTTTTTTTGGACATCTAAATATTTTTTTTAAATAAGGCACCTTTAAAACTTAATTCTCAAAACAAAGTAGTTTTAAACTTAATACCTAAAATGAGGTGTGTTTTGTCGTGTAACACTTAATTATCGAGGTTTTTTTTTCACACTATGGTACTTTTGAATTTTATTTCTGAGATATTTTTAATCTTATTTTTCAAAACAATACATTTTATGTCATGTTAGATTTGCATGAAAAATCCATGTCATTTCTTTCTCAAAATAATATACATGTAGTGTAAAAAATAATTAAGAAATTAGTAAAACCTCTTTTTCTACATTATAATTCATTAATCTAAATTTTGGAAAGAGAACATTTGTTGTGCTATAAAATTTAAACCTCAATCTAAAATTATAAAAACTCTAGAGGTAATAAACGTTGATAAAATAAATATTTTTTTCCTACCTATCTTGATGTTATATAGCTTAATTCTCTATCTTTTATTAGAAAAAGGAAAATCTTCATCCATTCAGCTATATTTTGTATCAAGAAAAAAAGAGGCAAGATGCAGAAAAAAGATAATGAAAAACAAAAGGAAGGTCAACAATGATTAATTGATAGATTTACATTAACTTTATAACGAATTATCAAAAGTGATATTAATAAGTCAAAATTTTTTGAGTTAAAAAAATCTATTAACTCCAAATTTGACAAGAACCCTAACTACATGGAGAGAAAGCAAAAGAGAAAGAGAGAGAGAAAGAAGCAATCAGGTTGGACTAATAAATAATTTAATGACATTGGAATAACAAATAATTTAATGGCATTATTTATCTTCTTAGTTAGAAAGATAGATTGATTTTTTAGTGGAACAAAAAAATAGTTTAATGATTATCTTATTATATAGTTAGAAAGATGGATTAACTTTTAGAAAGAGATGGATGGCACATAAACAAAAAGTATTATATAATTATTTGAATTAGCTTTTTTTTTTTTTCATACTAGTGTTTATTGATAACCAAAAAAGCAAAAAAAAACTCCTTAATTTAGTAAATAAGACTTAAAGTGTCTCGTTTTTATAAAGAAGATTTTAAAGTACTTTAATTTGGGAAAAAAAAATCCTTAATTATCCATGTCATATTTTTTATATTTACTAATAAAACTTCAAAAAATTAAAAGAAAATAAAATTTTAAAAACAACGTAATTGAAAATATTCACGTACTAAAGAACTTTTTTAATAATTATATGTATGATTTCTAATTTTTTTAAATTATTCTTCTAAATTTATATAGTAACTACTTATTTAAAAAAATGATTGGAATGCCTACATGGTAAAAACCGATCTCTTTCTTTCAATAAATAAGATTTTAAATATTTTATTTTAGAAAAATATATTAAAAAACCTCCTAAACAAAGAACAAAATTAAGAATCAATTGGGGAATATATACTCCAAGAACACGTGGGCTTTGCTATGTGGGTCACTAGTGGGCCAAGTTGCTTGTTACGAACCTAGGCAAGGGAGCCCAAAAACAGAACTAACTACATAACCAAGCATTAATCGTGAAACTCATCGAAAAGTGGAAAACTTCAATAAATAAAATCACCCATCGAATGTCAATGCTTGGCTCTTGTAATAGTACTATGGATAGAACTCCTGGCAGGGAGAAATCTGACAAGAAAACAATTAACATTAATTTCTAACAGAATCAAGGATTAAAACTTCAAGAAAAAATCAAAATAATTACAGAGAAATCACACAATCCAATCCAATATTTCTCCACTAGAATACAATCAAACACCAACTCTTCAACTTCAATGGAAGAAACCATAAGATAAACCAGACTCATATACCACCCAGGAATTTGTTAGTTCTGGTTTTTGGGCTCCCTTGATAGATTCTAGTTTCCGAGCCATGTTTAATCAGAAGTGTGAGCTCTATCTTCTAGTATTTAGTTATTAGCATTTAGAGCTTGTTGAGAAAATTGCAGCCAACTAAGTTCTCCAGCCTCCTATGCGATATTAGACATCTGCAAATACATGGTATTTCTTGGTTGAAATCTATCTTTATAGATATTTATGGTTTTGAGAGCTAAATACACTAACACAAACAGAGAAATTTCTCGTAAACTAAGCTGGTACATTTAAATGCAGAGTACTATACAGCATGACAGCATCCCAAGGATGCAAAATGAATAGTCTCTATTGAAACAATGTTTAAGACGAGAATTAACAACCATGATTGATTAGCTAAAAATCAGATAAGTGAATTTCTTGCCAAGATGGTTAGAAGGAAGAAAAGTTAATGCAGGCTAAACGTAGAAGACAAAAATTTTGATTTTTAATGTTTAATGTGGATTTGAATTAAAAAATTATTACTTTTTTCCTTTCTTTTTTGTTGAAACAAAATTTAATTTTTTTAATTTATTGTTTTTTAACGTGGCAAGAAAAATATAACAATTCTTTTTTTATCAGATATCATTTTTCATCAAATAGTCAAAAGAGTCACATTAAAATGAACAAAAAAAAATTGAAGAATAAAGAAAAGAGTTGAATTGATTTAAAAAAAACGAAAACCACTTTAAGAAAATCAAAAAAATTGAAAAAACTTCTTTGTAATTAAAAACATCTCTAATACTCTCTTTATATTAAATTTTTTTTTATAATAAAAAAATTTTATTCAAATTTCATCTTTAATACTTTCTTTATTATAATTTTTTATTTTTAAAAATAAGATACATAATGTTTTTTACTCTCTAATACTAAAAAATCAAAATGACTTTTTATCTTATATTTTATTAATAAAAATTATTATTTTCTATTTCATTTAATCTTTTCACTAATCAAAGAAAGTGAGATTAACCAAAAAAAAATTAAAATTAAATATTTTATAAATTTTATTAAAATAAAAAATAACATTGACAAAGAAATTATATTCCATCTATATAATTATAATTAATGATATTCTCTGTTAGCATTAAAATTATTATCTAAAAGTTAAAAATAGAAAGTACCATCTGAAATGCTCTAACCCTTCGAAGCAAGTTGAAGCACCGAAATCTAAAGCCACTTTCATGGAGCCCTCGTTAGATTCAAGCACTTCAATAGCAGAACAGAATCAAAAGCACAAATCCACATGAAAATGCTCTAAGGGTCACCACTAAAAAAATTGGATTCAATTGATATCTGCCACGTACGCACCTGAATCCACTTGGCATGAATCAGACTGCTCGATCAACATCCCGAACCTTCTCTAGTTCTCGGTTTGCCCAATTAGGGAAGTTCGATTTTGCTAAACCGTTAAAAAAAAAAAAAAAAAGAAGAAGAAGAAGAAGAAGAAGAATTTAGTGATCACAAAGGTCAAAATAGAATTGCAAACATAAAGAATTTCAGGAAAGGCAAAGACAACAAAACTGAGTTCCATTGAACTTGCAAGATTATACAGAGAATAGACCACTTATGTCCAAAACGTTGCAGAAAACACCCCAACATAAACTAGATACATATTACATCCCATATTCACATAAACCCAACACAGCAGATCAGAAACTAACTACTGCAAGTACTAAATTTCTACATCTAAGCAGCTTTCTTGGCCCTTTTAGCAGCGGGAGACTTGATAGACTTAGGCTGTTTAGGTTTAGCAGCAGCTGATTTCTTGGCCTTCTTAGCCCCAGCAGCTACTTTTTTTGCACCAGACTCGGATTTATTAACAGACCTAGTCTTTCTTGTAGTAGGTTTAACCTGTTGCGCCTTTTTCACTGTGTTAGTCCCCTTCGAGACTTTCCCTGTAGTGGCCTTCCCTTTTTTCCCCGTCTCTGATAGCTTGTAAGATGCCCTGATCTTGATTAACTTCCCTCTTGCTGCAGAGTTCTTCAGTTGAAGACCTAGAATTTTCTTGAAATTTGATGGGAGTACTGCTTTGTGCTTCTCTTCCATGTACTTTGCTATTGCATATGGACTCGACCCACTTTTCTCACCCAAAGCCAATATAGCCTCCTTGATCATCTACAATAATCACCCGCAGATTAAATTAAACATCAATAGAAATAACAATAACAATAACTGGGCATGCTTTTAAAAAAGTAGGAAGTCAAGAACCACGAAAAAGAAAAAACGAAATATATATACCTGAAAGTAAGGAGGATGAGCAGCAGCTTTTGGTTTAGGTTGTCTAGGCTTCTTTTCTCTGGGAGTCCTGGGCTTCTTTTCTTTCACTGGCTTCTCCCCAACCTTAGGCTCCGCTGTAGCAGGTGGTTGCTCCATGACTGGAGCCTCAGTTTCAGCTTCTTTGGTGGTGGTCATGGCTGATCAAGCAGAGTAGAAAATACACAAAAAGTAATGAACAGAAGTAACAGTAGCCGATACGGTTTTCCTATGTCATCTTTGGACGCCGTTTGTTTGCATTTATAGGTAGGAAACAACAAAAGCGAGTGCGTTTTGATTGGCCCATTGAGCGAGTTAGAGATTGGTGACGTGTGCGGGGAGAGATGTGGAACGTACACGTGGAGAGGAATCAAATCGTTGTTTATATTCCTTTTTATTTGTGAGAAAATGGAAAGAGGATATGTATTATTGCGGATAAGGAATAGCAGCATGGCACTTGGTTTTTGGTTTTCTTCACAGGAATGATAAAAATAGGTGTGCTTTTCGGTTGGATTTGGGATCAAATTTCTATTGGCTTATATCGTTTCTGGCTCTGGAAATTTCATGAGATTAAAGATCGGAAAGTCTAGATCACAATGTTGTTTAAATGGGATAAAATGGTTGGCATTTGTTTGTGCTCCGAAGCCATGGAAGAAAAACAGTATTTTTTGCCTCTTTCGTTCTTTATTTTGTTCGTAACTAAGACATGGGATCCCTATGAGCATGGTCTTGTGGATTACGGTGGGGTGGCTGGTTTAGGCTACTGTGATCATTATCCCATTACTGACATTTCAAAATTAAAAATCATTATTGACAATTTTACCTTAATGCCTGGTATACTTGGGCTTTTTAAAATATATATATATATCTTCCATTGCTTTCAAGATTTTCTTGAATGCGCATTCTGTGAAAGAAGCAATTTGCAGAAACTTCTGGAATGCTTGGCATTTCTTCGACACAATCAGGGTACTGCCCAGAAAAATCCAGAACAATCTGTCACTGTGTAATTTTTGAGAAGTGTTGGGAGCGCAATAGTAGATTCTAACCCGAGATTAACTGAGTCCAATCAAGGAGAATATTCTAGATACACTTATGCAAGTCAAGGAACGACAAACCCACTGAGTACGGCTAAATTCACCTCATTAATTGTTATTCTCATGATTTCTAGACAACTACTGATATACTCTCACTTAATGTTTTTTAACTCAATGTTTTTCAGATTTTATGTTCGCTACCCAAAATATTCATCAACAATATTTTCTCATCTGATTTCATTTCATGCTTAACACACAAACACAACAAAAAGTTTTGCCAGCACATATCATTCAATACAATAAAGAGAATTATGAAATAACTAGGAGACAAAAAAGAATTAAAGTAGCTGGGTATTAATCTTCAATCTCATTTTCAATTGATCTACTGACTTTCTTCTTTGACGATACTTAAATCTTTTTTTAATCTTTTTCTATAATGGGTCTTTCAGACTATAGGTTTTTCTCTTGATTTATTGTGTATGGAAAAATGTGATCTTTTTTATACTAGTTCCTGCAGACTATGGGTTTTTTTTTTTTTTTTCTAAATTTATTTTGTATGAAAAACAAAATCTTTTTTTATAGTAGATCGTACTTCTTTGATCTTATCTAATTTACTGGTCATTCACTTGTACATGAAGTTCATTTTTTCACGTTATTTAAAATTTTTCTCTAATGATATCTGAATTAATCGGTTCTTTGATGTTTTGTTAGTGAGTTTTTTTAGTGGAAAAAGGTTTATTGAATAGAAGACGATAGTCTCTACAAGTTGTGGGATGAAAGCAAAAGGGAGTGTGTTTATTTTGTTGGTTCACTATTTAGTAATTGTGATATTGAGATTTATGTCTTGTTAGGATAATCTGATATATCAATTTTAATGATTATAATGAGGTTGAACGATCCAAGTAGCATGAGATAGTTTGTCTATTTGTGTTAATCAAATGGTCTATTTATTGGTTTTTTAACTTTTTTTTTTTTTTTACTTTAAAAGATAATTCTCAAGAAATATCTCCTCTTTCAAGGAAAGCATATCAAAGCCAAGAAGAACTACTTAATGATATTCGATGCATAGCTTTCATGCAAGGGTTTGCTACCACAATTAAAAGGTCTAGTATGAATATAGGTTGTGACGGAGGAGGAATATATACAGCTACTAATATTCCAATTGAGCAAAGAAAAAGGAAGAGTTTATCTCGTCTCATTGAATGTCCTTTCGAGATAGTGAGGAAAAGAAACGTTGATGGAGTTTGGAGAATTGAAATTAAAAATATTTCACTCGATCATGAACCTTCAAGTGACTTATCCGGCATCTTTCCGCTTATCTTCTATCTAAAGAAGAAATAATACGTGTAAATGAAATGAGTAAAATAGGCATACCTCCCGGATAAGTACATTCATCACTTAGTGAAAGTAATCCAAATCTTCAAACGATTTCAAGAACCATCTACAATGCAAAAGGGAAAATTGTGAAGGAACAATTAGTAGGGCGTACGAAATTCAAGCTTTGATGGATGAAGTTGGCGAAAGTGATTTTATTTATAATGATGAAGATGGTCATTTGACATATTTGACTTTTTTTCGAGTCTAGCTTGATTGTTTTGACGAAGAGTTATTCAAATATTTTTGTAATGGATTGCACTTGTAATACCAACAAATATAAGATGCCATTACTTATAGGAGTGTCAAATTTTAACATGTCTTTCTATTCTTCCTTTGTTTTTATGCAAGGAGAGGAGACAAAAGATTATGTATGGGCATTGAATATGTTCAGCAAATTCTTGTATGTTGATAATTATCTTTCGGTTATTATTTATTATCATCGATAGAGAGCTAACTTTGATGAATGCTATAAATGTGGTTTTTCCAAGAATTGCAAATCTGTTATGCCTTTGGCATATTGAGAAAAATATATTGGCCAACTACAAGTGTTATTTTGAGGAAGTAGATGATTGAAACACATTTTTATCCACTTGCATTGATTTGATAAAGTCTTATGATGAATTATCATTTAATGAAGCTTGGCATCTTTTTGAAAAAAAAACATGAGAGGCATGCTCTAGCTTTGAATTACATCAAAAGTACTTAGTTTCTTTTCAAAAAACTTTTTGTTAGTGCATGGATAACTTTGAGAATCGAGTGAGTTTAAGAGTTGAAAGTGCTCATGCAATCCTAAAGAAATATCTTCAAAGTGGAAAATATGATTTACGTACGGTGAAGGAAAAAATATGTCTTGTAGTTGAAAATAATTCCAAGAGAATAGAGCAAGACTTTATAATGAAAAAATTCAGTCTCTAGTGAAGTTTTGCATTCCATTCTTTAAGAGGCTCGTTCATTGTGTTTCTATATTTGCTTTAGATGAGCTATTTAAGCAATATGAAATGGCTTTATAAAATTCTCTACTATCAATTTGTAGAGTCACCTTTCAAAGATAATGGGCCTTCAAGGTGAAGAATTACGACTCGATGATGTGCATCCACAATGGAGACTTGATACAAAATCATTCATCGACACTAATGGTGGTTTGGGAAATAATGAAGACCAAATTGCAACTCTTTTGCAAGGACTATAAGACAAATATCATCAATTACCACTCGGTGCAAAAGGAAAATGTTCGGAAACATATTTCTCGGATTGTGAATTCGTCATCATATTTGATTCTTGAACCTAGAATCCACGGTCACAATGATCGTCCATTGGGTTCAAAGAAGAAAAACTCTAATAGTACAAGACGTAATCCTTCAACATTTGAATCGGTGAAAAGAGTTCGAAAATGTAATACTTACAAGAAAAGTGATAATAATTATCGTACTTGGTCCTCAAAAGGATGATCGCGATGAATTGAAAGATATCATTGATTTCAATTCAATTCCAACCTCATCAACTAGTTTTCTTCATAAATAAAGAATTACGGTATGGCTTTTTCAAAACATATTTAAATTATTTTTCTATATGTTGTACTTTCTTTTTCAATTTATGATTTGACTCTATTGTATGTCTTTTTTTTCATTCTTAAGAGCATGAATTGAGAATATGTAAAGATGATATGTTTTACAATTAGCAATTATTAAAGTCTAAAGATGACGTGGTTTTTTTCCTGGATTGTGTTCAATATTTTTCTCATACTGTTACCTATTTAATGTCCTGTCTTTTTCAACTAAACATTATACTTGTGCTGCTTAATAGAGAAAAAGAATTGGCGGATGTAAAGATCAGGGCAGTTGATGTTGACATAATTACAAATGAATTAGAGGTTATTTTCCTAATATTTTTCCTTCAACGGCAGGCAAAGGCAAAGAATTTTGTTTTGTAATGAGATTTTGTTCAATATTTTTATGTTGGAGAGACTTTTGGTATTTTGATGGAAAAACATCAAAACAATATGAGCCCAATCATCTTTATTTATGTTATCAAGTGTTAATTTTAATGGATATTTTGGACATTTGATATAAAATATATGATTGAATGAAGGTACACCAGTAATTGTCTAGAAAACAAATGGTGGGAATAACATTTAATGCGGTGAATTTAACAACACCCATACCCAATACCAAGAGACAAGAGTGCCTTTGTACAAAACAAGAAATTAAAAAATAAAAATAAAAATAAGGAGGGTAACTAAAATTCAATAATGTCTCCCAACTAAATATGAAGAGCATACCCTCAAGAAAAATTTGAATTCTCGAATCAACTTATATAACCCAAAACAAAAGTTAATAATAATAAATCATCAGAAAAAGAAAAGACAGAGAACTTGTATCAGAGCATTTAATTACATGTAAAAGAATATCAGAGACCATTGATTTCAAACCCCTAACAAAATCGAGGACAAAACTACGATAGCAAAACAAAACGCAAGCGACTACGCTCCCTCCTTCCCACTTGCTGTTAACATGGAATCACACAAGACCTCAAAAGCAATACAAGTTCATAATTTCTTAATTAAGATGAAAATAAAGGAAAACTATTTTGCTCGACACAATTGTCAAGTTAATACCATACATCATTTACTAATATACGATTTTTTACAGATTAATCAGAATCAAAACCCTTCAAGGAGAAGTGGGTAGACTTCAATTCTGAAACCCTACCCTTCCCCATCCTTTGAGGACTGGCAAGGGAAATTAATATATGTTGAGCTATCTTGAATTAAATTCAATGTTCCCACGGATAGAAAAAGGCAGAGGTGGTAATGTAGTGATATCCCAGTCATTGATTAGAGACAGAAAGGACCCAAGGGCCATTAGCATCTCTAATCTTCAAACCACAACACTGGCCATAGGTCGAAACAACAGACTCTGCCGTAGGCCAACTGACTCTGCATCGTATTATCAAAACAAGTATGACCAAAACAAGTTAGGATACCAATAATTACAAGATCACACATCAAATCACTAAACTTCATAACCCAACCTACGATGGTTATTGTTTTAATAGTTGATCCGAATCTATCAATCCATGGTGATTCAAACAAGTCGAGCATCTTTCTCAGTTCGTTTCACATGTTAATCAATATGACAGCCTGTGTATTACAATAAACCTGGCAACAAAAAGAAACCAGCAGATTTTCCAGCCAAACAGCCTCTGACCTGGGGCACAGCCAATTCTTGAAATGGTGCAGAAACTCCATTTGCCTGGGGCACATGGCCACTTATTGAAGCTTTAAGGGAAATCCAGCCTCTTGATTTTTTTTTTGGAAGAAAATGATGCATGAGTGACTAGATGCGATGCAAAGCTTCCAATTTAAACAAACGTTACAAGAAACAGATTCTATGAACTAATAGACAATTACATTAAGAATGTATCAGTAGTTTTGGTCAAATTACAAATCAAAGTTCATCACAGTGATAAAATCATGATCCTCAACTCAAATTATACATAAATGGGAAAAAAAAAATTATTATCTACAAATGAAAAGAGAGAACTCAGGAAATATCGAAGGAAGAAAATGAGAAGCTGCAACAAACAAAAAGGCACACGGCTGTGTGGATATATAACATCAGCAACAAAATTCCAACACACCCTAATGGACCCAAAAACCACTTTGGAAAGCACCAAAGCAATATTCTAAAGTGCTTCCTATTCCCTAAACAGAGCCTTCATGGATTATTATTAATGTTACATAGAAAACATTTACTGCTACTAGAACAGCATGCCAGACTCAAATAAATGAAAGATTATAAATCGAGTCAAAACAGTATTGAAGTTACACTGCAAATCTAAATAATTATTCCAAAAAATACATAAGAGATGAAAGAATTCCTAACACTAATATGGTGGATGCTTATCAGTACGTTTGACAAACACCTTAAATCTCATGGATAGAAAATTGATTATCTCATTCATGGTTCAACATATTAATTAGGATCTAACTGCCCTCATGATTATAACCCATGAGTCCTCTGCGTTATGTTTGCTTGCAAATGCAAGCAAAATGAAAGAGGAAAGGAGGAACTCAATTAGCAAACCATTTAATCCATAATAACTCATTGAATCTAGTTTTGTAAGCAATGCATCGACTAGAAATACTGCTGACCAACATGAATGACACCAAGATGAAGAATTAAATAGGCAAAATTTAACCAGTCATTAGCATACCTCCATCTCTAAAATAAAAAGCTACTGCCATTGTTAGGTAGAACTATTCTGTGTCTGCTGCAAGTAGTTTCTAGAAATGGATTCATTTTATAGCATGGAGCACCTTATCTTCTCATATAGAAATCCAAAATCCTAACTACCATGTGATTATCAAGTAATCATACAAAAGTATCAGGTCCACAGGTCTACCCTACAAGAACAATATGAGCCAAAAAAAGATATATCAATAAGGAAATACCTAATATTTTTGTTTTGATTAAAGGAACTTTCAGGTAATTGCAAATTATAACACAGTTTTCTACAGCAAACCAATTCACAACATAAAACAATGCCCAATCCCGCAACCCCACTAAAATCTACAATATCCGTCTGATTCCAAATATCATTCCCTGCAATTCTGACAAAAAAAAGTAACTAAATGGTAGTATACTCCCAACATGTGCAATCATCCGCATCACTATCACAATGCCCCAACAGGAATGCAAGACTTAATAATTGTTTCAAGTTAGGACACCATGTTGAGATTGACACCTAGCACCTTCCAAGTACATGGCAGAGCATAAACATACAACAAATATTCCGATTATCAAGGATCTAAATCAACTGTAGCATAGGCTATAACGTGATTTGAGTACTAAACAAGAACCTTTATCTTTATAAACCACAATTTCCACATTTAGGATTCTATGCCAGTATCGTTATGATACGGAGAATTGTAAGAGATAACCACCATCAAAAAATGCTCAAAAGCTTTGAGAAGCAATTCAACTTTTGAAGTTTAGAAGGCACACATATATCTTGTAGGCACACCAATGCCATTTCTCCATTAATCCAAAAATAGTACACAGTAACAATCACAATAAGAGACAATCCTAAGAATCAATTCACCTTGAAAGACAGATCTGTCTCACCACAAAATCTGTCAGTTTCAATCTCAACCCAAATCAAATGATTCTGTTACGTAAAGGTATCATAAGGATCACCCTCCAAATACATAAAAACTGATGCTACTGAAGAATCAAATACATCATGGACCAAGCTAATTGCTAGTTCTCCAGATAAGAAATAATTAAATGAAATGCGTTCAAAATCTTAATTTCATCTGGTGGCAATGCACCTTCAAGAAAAAAATGCAATTCCCAACAGTTGTGCTTTGGCAATAGGTGCATAATTGTTGAATGACTGGTCAAAACAGATCCAGGTGGACCAGTCATATGCATACTAAAATAACCATAAATTTTTATCAAGAATCCATTCCAATTCAAAATAAACTCACGCAAGACGGTACGTTTCGGATTTATAATTCCTATACGCTAGGCATGGAAGGTCTAAACCTTTCCATTTCTCTTGCATAATTTTCAAGGAATCTCCACAAAGCCAGAACCAGCATACTCAATAATAACTTCTTCACCTCCATCACTATAAGAAAAACCTTCGTTTGAAACTTTGCACTTCCATAAACTATTGTCATCAATCTGTTATGTTTCGGCTTCAAAATTAAAGTCATCAACATCAATATTTAATCCATGATTCAGGAACATAAACACAACCAAAAGCTTTACTTTGAACAACCCATAATGTAAGTCCTCAATCAGTTCATACCTAGATCAAAGGGCAAATGTCTATTCCAATCTCCAAAATATAGAGAGAATTTTACTTGCTTAATCTATGTCCTTTGAAGACATACCCTAAACTAGACACAAACTCTCTGGATGATGCACCCAAAAATTTCATAGGCAGAGGATATTGGAAGAAGGGAACCATGAGGAAAAATACAAGACATCGAAAAGATAAAGGAAAGGCAACTTCAACTAGTTTCTGAACAGCAAGCCATTTGCCTATCATCAATGATTAGCGTCCAACTTTTCCAAGCCCACCTAGACACAATTGAAGTTAAAACCTTTACCTTCAAGAATCACATCCAATATAAAGTATTTAAGATTGCAAGGCAATTGGAGTTACCAGATTTGCTTGTGCCTAATAGTGGTAACCACCTCCATATGAGTGGTCACTACCGTAATAAGGTGGATACGGACCGTACTGCAACACAAACAGAAAACAAGAGACAATGAAAATGTTACTAATAAAAAATATGACCTGGTATAAGCTAGGGGCCAATTGCTCACATCAGAACCACGATATTCATGAAAGTAGGGATCACTGCCAGCTCCATAAGTATCTGAAACATAAAGCCATAGGATGATAGCATAAGAAACAACAAACCAAATAAAATGACCATGCCACACTAAAAGAAAAGAGCTGGGGACAAAATAATACATACCACGATAATGTGTCCCACGAAATGAAGCTGCCGGATCAGCATAGTCTAATCGGGGATCGGCGTAATCTAACCGTGGTCGGAGCCTACTGGGTTCCATATAATCAGGATCTTGGTCCTAAAAGCAAGAGAAAACTATCAAACTCTAAAGAATAAAAAGGATCCACAAAAAACAACAGAAGCTTAAAATTTAAAAGAACAATATCGACCAAATTACAGCATTTAGGCTGCAAAAAGAAATCCTCACAGTCATGTAAAATGGTCGCTTCATCCCATGTGAACCATCATCATAAAGATAGGGGTCATCAAAGTGCCTTCCAACATAACGTCTGTCAAAGGATTCTTCTGGAGAAAATGGTTGCCTCCTTGAAGAAACATGGTCCCTATGTCCTCGCTCAGGGGCATCATGCCAAGCTCTATTGATATTAGATCTTGATGGCCCGGCAGCCATACCTCTACCAGCTGTGTGATAACCTCCTCTGAAAGGACCTCTTCTTCCTCCTACTCAATACAAAAGTGCGAGTTAGATTTTTAATACTGGCTGCCTGAAAGATCTGCATCTATTGGAAAAGAAGACTGTGTGTGTGTGTGTGTGCATATGCTCAAAGAGCGAGAGACCATTGAATACCTTGCCTCCCATGAAGCATGTCATATCGATCATTATAGTCATACTCACGGGGACCCATTCTACTAGTTTGACCACGTCCTCGTTGATAGAAACCCCTACCACGTTGGAAATTTGACCAGTTGGAGTGATGCCCACCCCGCCCAAAACCACCCCTTCCTGTAACACACAGTTGCCTAAATCAAATGGAGACAAATGCAGATGCTAAGGAAGATTCAAATCCTCAAGATCAAAGGTTACCAAATCTTGAAAAATTTCCACTTCCAAAATGACCAATTCGAAAGCCACCACACATTCCACCCTTCACAGCCTGAGTTTTTGGTAATGGATTTGACAGCCTTGCTTTAACTCTCGTCTGCCAGCAAAAGACAACAACATGACCTCAGTTCATACACCATCTCTTAGCAGATTAGATACAAAATAGGTAGAAATTTATTGGACCATGTAACTAAATGCATCCATTTCACAGGCATCAATACTCGAATGATCAGACTCTACCAGGCAAGGAAATGAAAATAAAACCAAAACTAATGAAAGCATCAAATTGAAAAGTAGATGTGAGGTGACTTCAAAACATTTACTACATGCCTCAATCCCTAATTTTATTCGAATTAAAGGAAAATGCCCAAATAATTTAACGAAACCTAGAAGTGCCTTTCTAGGCAAAAGTAATTTTGCCACAAACACAGCAAAAAAGAAATGGGGCAAGGAACTGCTGCAAAGCAACATACATCGAAATAGATGAAGCATCAACAGGACTATATTACCTTTGTGTTACCATTGCCAAATTCTCTATTATTTATTCCCTCAATACAAGCAACCGCAGCTTCATGTGAAGAAAAGTCGACAAATCCAAAATCCTTTCTCTTGGCAGTTGACATATTCCGTGCCAGGACAATTCGCACAATGTCCCCATAACCTTTCAAGCACTCCCTAACACGGTCTTCATCCCAGTGAGGAGGAAGGCCATCAAGAAATATAGTCTTCACCTGTGCCATAATTTCAGGGTCTGGCTCGCGTATAGGTTCTGCAAATGCCACTTTCGCAGTTCTCTCTGGGTGGCCAAATACAACATCAGGTTTCTGAAGCCTCTTGTATGCAAGCATTGCATCAACATGACAAGCAAACTCAAGAAATGCAAAACCACGACTTCTCCCTTCATGTTGAGCATCTGGGACAACAGTGATGTTCTCAACACCTTCAATGCCATAATCCTTCAACTTTTGCCTTATCTGCCAACCCACGTTAAATCATAAATCACAGAACAGATCTAAAAACAATCAGGAGCTATAATTATTAGATACTCACAGCTTCCTTTGTCCATGTGTTGCATATATTTCCCAAGAACAATGTATCATTGTCCTCACTTGGTGCTGTCCCACATCGCTTTCCACGAATCTGTGAACAGATGAGGAGTTAATATGACATCATAAAATGTGAACCAAAACTATGAAGTGATACATACCACAGGGTTTTTCATTTCCGACAAAGCACGCCTCACATGCTCCTTGTTTGCAAATTTCACAAACGCATATCCCTTATTCCTATTCGTTGAAAGATTCTTGTGTAATCGAACTTCAACCACTTCACCAATCTTCTCAAAAACCTTTCTCAAATCATCCTCGGTAGCATCCCTATCCAACCCACCAACAAATATCTCATACTCTTTCTTAATCTTACGCTCCTTAGCAACAGCTGTTCGTTCCCTGCGTTCCTCTTCCATTGCATCAGCTTCTTCAACAGGTTCATCTGGATCTTCAAAGTCATCCTCACCAGGATCTTCAAAGTCCACTCGATCTCCATACTCCTCGTATCCATCATCACCACCATACTCATCTTGCTCAGTTTGAGCCTCTTCTCTTCGAAAATCGTCCTTCATATTTCCTTCCATCTTCGCCGCCTCATTTCTGGGCTCCACTTCATCATCCACATGTTTCCTCTCATCCTCCTTAACTTCCTCGCCCTTTCCCACACTGTCAGGTTCTTCATTCTTAGATATTTTCACAACCTCATTAGCAGGTGTATCCACTTCCACCGCAGTTTGTTCCCTTTTCACAAACTCCCCAACCATATCACCAACAGCTTCATCCTCCTTCCTAGAGTCAACTACAGGTTCTTCCACACTTTCCTCCTTTACAGATACAGCAACACCTTCAACCTTACATTCTTCCACGTCCATTGCGACTTGTTCCTTCTTTATAGATTCTCCAACAATTTCAGAAGCAAGTACCTCCTCCTTTGCGCTGTCTTCAACCTTACACTTTGCAGCAACCACAGTTTTCGGTGTTTGCTCCGAAAGAACTTTTGGATTCGCAGGAGTTTTCTTCACCACCTTCACCACTCTCCTCACAACCTTCTTTTTAATAGGAAGAGGTTTCGTAGTTTCCAGCGTCCCCATGCTCACATCCGTTTGTGTATTTGTTCCTTCAACTAGTGTTAAAAAACAATCAATTAGCAAACCAAGCAAGCTCAATAAAAACCTAAATATCAACCGATAATAGACTTCAAAAAAACCCTAATTAAGAATATTAAGCTATATATATAAAAAAAGAAAATCATTATTTTTTATAAAACGACGAATAATTATTATTACCCGATGATTGTTCTTTGGAATCAGAGCCGCTAATTGGCGACGGAGTCATGTCGTTATTTTCTGTCAGCTTGGCGTCGGCAGGGGTTTCTGGAATCGGTGATTCCTCGGTGGCAGAATCAGAAGCGCCTTTGACAGCGGCAGGTTTCCTTCCCGCCGGCGTCTTTTTAGTCGCGACAAATTTTGTGGCTTTCATGCTGACACACAGTGAAAAAGAGAGATTGATTATTGGCTTTGAATTTATGAATTTTAAGATTAGGCAGAGTGGAATTTTCAGTGAAAAGGGGAAGAAAGTTAAATTTCTTTTTTGATTGATTTTACAAGTTTATAAGAATAAAAAAGGGGGCGAGACGAACTTTATACAGACAGGTAGACAGACGAGGTAAAGATAAGGGAAAGGAAAGAACGACGTGGTTTTGTGTGCGAGGTGGGTTTTTTAGCCGTGGTAATATGTTGGCTTTTGTACATTAAACATGTCAAATCATTGAAGCGTTTGCTAAGTAGTACGAGTTTTGTTCTTATGAGTAAATTATAAATTACCCCCTCTTGTTTGAGAAACGAATTAATTAATCTCTTTTGTTTTAAAAACTAATTATTTAGTTCTAATTTTTTAAAATCGACTTGTAATTTAGTTTTATTATTTTTTTTAATTTTTTTTAATTTTTTTATTTACATTATTATATATATATATATAGAAAATTTGATGAAAAAACATTTTATGAAAAATAATATGAAATTAAACATGATTAACATTAATAAAAAATTAAATAATAACTTTTGAAAAAAAAATTAATTGATTTATTTCTTGAAATTAGATAGATCAATTTATAATTTACTCTTGTTCTTATCTAAAGTTTGAATCCCGTAAACAAGAACATAAAATGATAATTTTTTTATTATTTTTTTTGAAGATTATAGTAGTTTCAATTTCAAGATAATTTTTATTGCTTTATGCAAATCGATGGAATTGAATTCTTATTGGTGCGTAATATATATATTTTTTTCAAGTTTTGATGGTATGCTTAAATTAATTATAGTGCATTGAAATTTCATTTATCTCTCGAACCCATGCAAGAGAGAGAAGATTTATGATTTTAAAAATTATTTTTCATAATCTCCTTCAAAATTAAATTCATAATAAATAATAAGAAAAACACCTTTTTAATCCATGAAGAACCACACTGTAGTAACAATTCATGTTGTCCTGAACTATAAGGTCTCGATTATTCATTTTGGCATTACAGGTATTAATATGAAAAACTTATCATACTACAGAGACCAAAATGCCAATAAGTCAAATGCCTTCATTTCGCTCCCCAACGACCACTGGGAGTCCCAGACTTACGGGGTACCCAAAACGGCATCATTTTGTTATAACGCACTTCAGCTGGTAGCCTCGACAAAATTTCGGCTGCAAGCACCTGGCCCTCCTGCGATTCCCGGCAAAGGCCAACCGCGGGGCCCCATCAGTACTCGGCGGCTATTGAAGCACACGCGCAAACGCTCTGTTGAAGATAAGAATTGAAGAAGTAAACCCCCATGGGTGCCTCAGAATCTAGTCTTTCAAGTTCACCGGTAATTCTTTTGAGCTCACTAATAATTTAGAATAAATTTGATACTGTTGAATAATTTGCTTGCTATTTGGTTTAAAGAAACTGACAGATGAGATCACTACTGTCACTGAGAGATCAGAAGATGTGGATCCCATTTTGGAGAAGCTCAAATCCCTCAAAATTGTAAGCTTTTTATTATCCTTTAAATAATCCCAAATTGGAGACTCAGGCACTATCTTTTTGTTCAAATTAATTAGTTGTTTTTGTTTAATTGTAGACAAGGCCAATATTAACTTCACCTCCAAAGGAAGAGGGTAGCTTGACTGACATTTTGGTGAGGAAGCCATCGTCGTCTTCAGCTCCTGGTGAGTCTTTCTTCCCTTTCTTTCCTTCTTGCAGTAGGCCTTTTCCGTTGAAGCATTAAAAAGAAATTAGAATGTTAGAAAGTATAATTTAATTTAATTTGCTTTCTTTACTCAGCGACTGAAAAATGATTTGAACCAAGATATCTACTGAGGAAATAGAGAAGTAACGTACTTCCGAATGTGTGTGAATGTTCTTGACTTGAAACATTTGAAGGTTCATTTCACTGTCCTTGTGTATAAAATGGCCTAGAAAAAGAAAGGAAAGAATGGCTGGTTCGAAAGTAATACAAGGACAAGTTGAATGCTTGGTGGTTGATGTGGTTTTTCATGTGATATTTATTGGTCATAGGTGTAGTTTTGTAATGTTATTTGTTTTATCTTGCACATTCCTTTTAAATTGGAAAAAAAAAATTGTTTGAGAAAGTCTAATCTTTTTCATTTGGTATTTCCCCGTGTGTTGTTTTTAATGGTATATGTAGCAACTGTAAATCCAAATGTGTTATTGGAGCTCTTCTCGGTATATCGCGATTGGCAAGAAGGAAAGGTCCAGCAGATTAGCAAGAAACAGGTTTGTCTGCCATTAAGAACTACTAAGAGTAGAAGACCAGTTTATAGAATGTAGTTAAATATTTTAAAATCATGGGATGGATCATATGATCAATGGATTTCAGGTCTGTCTCTAATGCATAGTTTTTTATATGGGTTAAAATCCAGGTTGGATTTTAGTACTAGGATGTAGCTTCCCTCATGGACATGGATAATGATAAATTTCATCTAGGATCTGTACAAAAATTGTTTTTAGGCAAGGACCACATGCAAATGAATTTTACAAGTAGTTGTTGCAACTCTTCGATGCTTAAGTAACCAGCTATATCTGATAACGATGATGGCAGAATAAAAACATGAAATGTCCAATCTGCTGTTAAGAGAAACCAGATAATCTGGTTTTACTTCTTATACCTAAATTCTGGTCGACCTGATGCTTTAATAGATCAATTGAAGGTCCACAGACTTCAAACAACATGATTCTATGTCAAAAAAAGACATGTCACTTATGAACCATTTGAAATGTTTCTCTTTTTTCGCCCATGAATGTAGGGACACTGATTCTTAACCATATTGTCTGAACTAGAGTGCAATAACAGCAATAATTTCCACTGGAAAGCAGTACTTCAGCTGTTACTGCACTATCTGTTGATGTTTGAAATCCTTTTACCGATTCGTAACCAGACATGTAACTGATAAACCATTTGAGATGCCTCTCTTTTTTTGCCATGAATGTAGAATCACTGATTCTTAACCAGGTTGTCTGAACCAGAGTGCAATAACAGAAATAGTTTGCACTGGAAAGTAGTTCCTTAGCCGTTATTGCACATGTGTTGATGCTTGAAAACCTTTTAGTGACATGATTGCACCTGGAAAACCCGTTTGCCCTTTTTTACCAACTTCGATTTGGTTTTGCTATTTTACACTTATAGGATTTAGAAAATTAGCTTTGCTTTCACTATTATTTGGTGAAAACTATTGCAGGAGGAGATAGAAAATAAGATAGAAGTGGCAGATGCTTTGGCAATTAAACTTCTTCAAAGGTTTAATTACTCTGTGTCAGCGATGAAGACTACTTCGCAGCATCTATCAGAAGGTACTAGACAACATATCAAATGATAATGGATTACTAACGGATTATGGAATCAGAGAATTAATTATTCTCTCGCCAGTGTTTGCCTTTTGGCCTGCTAGAGTTTGATGAAGCCACTAGTAGTGGATCTCAGTTTTTTTTATTTTTTTAACTGCATCTTTGATCCAACCTTTAACCAACTTTACTTGTGGACAACATATGCAGTTCATTCTGTGCAGGTGGAGATTGGGGAGCTTAAAGGGAGGTTGACTGAGGTTATTAGCAACTGTGATGCATTGTGCAAGAGAATTGCTACAGAGGGGCCAGAATCTCTCCGTTCATCAGTTAAGCCATTTGCAACTGCCCCTGTTGACCCAGAGATCAGCTCTAGCTCATCATCTGTGCAAAGAGTTCTAAAATCCAATCCACCTTCTAATGAAGCCAAGTCAGACTAACTGTTTACTTTCTCCTTTCAGCTTTCACCTTTTTCTTTTTTCCTTGTATATGGTCATTGTTTAACCCATAATCTCCATCGAGATGGAAATTTGTCCCCATTACCTAACAAGCAACATAAAAGGAAAATATATCTTTGGGAATTTGGGAATTTTAGCCGGGAAGCAACTTACTGGAAACGTTGACAAAGAAGCTTATTGGATGAAATGTGAGGACAAGTTGTGATTCTTTTGTTGCCATCCTATCAAGATAAACTCCTCGTCAAGTTAACGATATACAGTTTATTTTATTGCTGTCAAATGTAAAGAATATACCCGCACCGACATGAGCTCGGATCTGATGCCTCTATTATGTTTCCTTAACCAGATCTAATGCATGTGACACTATTTTCTAATATAGAAAAGGACTGGCAACAAGATACCCCACTACCCTACCCCACCTATTCTTTGTTATTAGAAGTTAATTTAAGACTTATTATATCAACAAATTACGAAATTTTTAATTTTTAATTATACTAGTATATTTTTTTAATGTTGGATAGGAAAAACATGAATTAATTTTTTATAATGATATTAGCATAAGTAAATTTTTTTAGCTTTAATTCTGTTTTCAGCTGATGTGGCATAGAGGTAAGATAACAAGAAGACATAAATGTGTCTTATATGACAAATTTATTTTCAAAATAAACTACATGTCAATCAAACATTAAAACAAAAGAATTGGGAGCGGCTACAGCTGTGGTAGCTGTTGTGGGGGGCCTGTGGTTGTTGGTGTTGTGGCTTTTGGTGATTGGCTGCTGAGGGGACAGTTGGAAAGATGGTTTGAGGTTGTGGTAGAGAGAGAGAGAGAGAGAGAGAGAGAGAGAGAGAGTGGTTCACGGTTGTGGGGTTAGTTGGAGCGATGATTCGCGACTGTGGTGAAGAGGAAGATCGACAGCTGGCTGGAACGAACGACTAAGACTGTGGTTGGAAGGGGTTTGTGGCGCTAGGATTTCTGCAAAAAAGAGTGACGGTGACTTGGTTGTGGGGTGAACGATGGCTAGAGCTCGGGTTTTGGAGAGGGAGAGTGGGTTAGGGCTGATGGCCGCAACTGGTGTTCAGCAGCTGTGAACAACGGCTATGGCTGGACAGAATTTTTGGAAAAAGGGGGGTGGGATGCCTTAGCTTTGGCGAAGAGAGGGTGGACGGCAACGAGAGCTTCGACCAGTGGTGTGGTCGGGGTTTCATTAAAGACAGCGACGAGACTGGCTGGACATAAATTTGAGGGAGAAGAGAGGCTGCCAACTGCTTCTCTCTCTTAGTTTTTGGCTACGTTTTCAGTTATTGAGGTTTATTGTACGATACTGGTTCAGGCAACCCAAGAAGCTTTCTGAACTGATTGGCGGCTGATGCATACTGGGTCTGGCCAAGATTACGTGTCCGTGGGCCAACACGAACTCGCAATGCGAATATCATTACTTGTTATATTGCTAATCTGTCAATTCTACCGCTAAAAAATAGAATAACAGAGAATTGGTGGGTGGGGTATCCTTTTCCTTCAAAATGCTCCCGACGTGCAATTTTGTGACCTGCATAGTTTCCAGTTCATGTTTATTTTGTAACGGTTAGTGTCGGTAGGCAGCAGCTAGTGCGTTGTTATAGCAATTTAAACCGATTTGCACAGGACATACTGTGGTTTTAACCCTTCGTACTACCAATCACTGTTAAATTAAGAGTTATTGCTTCATAAAATCACAAATTTAATATTTTTTAATTATTTTAATATGTTAGTTTCATGTTGATCAGAATGTTGAACAGAAAAAATATGAGCTAAGTTTTTAGTAATTATATTAACGCATGAGAATTTTTTCAGATAAAACTTCATTTTCAGCTACAACAATAAGACATAAATGTCACGAAGGATTTCACGTGTCGTAGCCTTAAAATTTTCTCTATTCTTCCTTTCACAATGCAGAGCAATCTGTAATTCCTGGATTTTGTAGGCAAATTGCACGGAATTCAAGTTCTGAACTGATTTGACCTCACATACAATTCATGAATTACGAAGACAAAAGGAAACAAGGAAAGACTTTCGATACATAATACACCGGATTGAAACTATTCTTGCTGAAATTGAAAGAATGTGAATACGGGTAACGGAAGGACCAAGAGGAAAGGAAAAAAACCACTTAAATTAAACAAACCAGTAAACATCCTCCTATTGACTTAGAAATGCATTAAAAGAAAATTATGACTAGCAATTCAGATTTCTTACATTAACTTTAATTTATGAAGCAGAGGAGACCAACTGGAAGTATCAATCAAGGCTGTTGCTGGGCATCTATATAACCAGCATCAACAAGAACCTTCTCCCTCTTTGCTATATCAATATCTTCATCGACCATCATCTTCACCAACTGCTCAAACCCAACTTTGGGCTTCCAACCAAGCACTTTCCTCGCCTTACTCGAATCCCCTTTCAGATTGTCCACTTCAGCAGGCCTAAAATACCTCTTATCAATCACAACATGATCCTTCCAATTCAATCCGACATATCCAAATGCCACCTCCAAAAACTCCTCAACCGTATGCGACTCCTCCGTCGCAACAACATAATCATCAGGCTTTTCCTGCTGCAACATCATCCACATTGCCTCCACATAATCCCCCGCGAAGCCCCAATCCCTCGACGCCTGCAAATTCCCTAAAAACAACTTACTCTGCAACCCCACCTTAATCCTCCCAACAGCCCTCGTAATCTTACGGGTTACGAAATTCTCTCCGCGACGTGGAGATTCATGATTGAATAGAATCCCATTGCAAGCATACAAACCATAAGCCTCCCTGTAATTCACAGTATACCAATGCGCCGCGCATTTTGACGCGGCGTATGGTGATCTTGGATGGAAAGGGGTGGTTTCTGATTGCGGTGGCGGCGTAGATCCAAACATTTCTGAAGAACCCGCTTGGTAATACTTGATATGGCTCCGCCCTGTCGCGGCAATATGAGATCTCACCGCCTCAAGAAGGCGGAGGGCTCCGGTGGCGACGACATCCGCTGTGTAATCAGGGATTTCGAAAGAGACTGCCACGTGGGATTGGGCTGCGAGGTTATAGACCTCATCAGGGCTGATAGTGTCGAGCCAGCGACGGAGTGACGACGCGTCGCTTAGATCTGCATAGTGGAGTTTCATTCGGGCCTTATGGGCATTGTGCGGATCTATATAAATATGATTAATCCGCTGCGTATTGAAATTGGAGGATCGGCGGATCAAGCCATGAACTTCATAGCCTTTGTTGAGGAGGAATTCGGTTAGATATGAACCATCTTGGCCGGTTATACCGGTGATCAGGGCGATTTTAGGCTTGATTTCACCGTTGACGAGAGTGGTGGAGTCGGATCCGGGTTGGTTTGAGTCAGATGCCATTGGTGGGTAGTCCGAATTTGATTTGACGGGTTTTTTATACAATGCGAGTCTGTGATTTTGGTCTGTTGATGGAGGGGTTTAATATAGCGGGAGGGAGAAGATCGTCGAGAAGGGTAGAATGGTAAATGGAAAGGAATTTGGAAAATGAGGAAAGTCAATAGTATGGAAGAAGAGGCATGAACTGGAAGGGTGAGGCGTTGATTTTTCGGTTGAATTGACGAATTTGGGCTTGAGCATGGGTGCGGTGGGTTGTGATTGGTGGATGTGCTAACACGTTATGGATTGTGTTGTGCTCCGGTTTGCACGATGTGAGGAAATGTTGTTTTTTAAAAAATAAAATGGAAAGAGTGAATGGTAATTCTGTGAATAAATATTTTTCAAATGTAATATTTTATTGACAACCTAATGTTTTTTGCTAAAGAATTAATGTCAACATGCATAATTCCTAAATGAATTAGGATAGTTATTAGAAATATTGTTTTTTTGTGCTTGTGGTGGCGTTCAGAATTTATATTCTATTTTCTTATAAAAACATGAAATTTATTGTGAAAATAATTCATGTCTTATAATTTTATTACATAAAAAAAAAAAAAAAAAACAGTTCCCGGGGTAATTACTCGTACACGTAAAACTCGTAGTATTGCTCGCTTTAGACCCAGCAAAGGGCTTACCACTAGCAACCTAGCAAAAGAGTATTCATTTCCAGATTCAACGCATCTAGCATGGTGGTATCTATCGTAACTCTAAAGTCTGTCTTGAGACTTTTGACTACGAAGGCAAGTAAATCGTTGTTTTTATATATCCTAACCATAGTTGCCAATATTTAACATATAAAATTAACCAAGCGCGCGCGTGTGTGTGTGTATATACACACACACACGAAGATGAAATCTTACGTTAGCAAGCTATTACCAGATCCCAAAACAAAGCTTCTTAAATTATCTTGTCATTGAGTCCGATGAGAGATGGGGTGGATGTCCAAAAGATACATTTACAAAATATTTACTAGAAAAAAGATTAACTTTAAGTGAAAGAAATTTTAATTTTTTAAATAAATAATTTTAGATTCGAATTTATATATATATAAAAAACTCATTGGATAATTGTATTCATCCTATATGATCAACATAATAAAAAGAGATTAATATAAACTTTTAAGTTTATAATATCTTAGGAAAAAAAATTACAAAATATGCAGCCTCAAGATTTAATTGTTCCTTTTTATCTATCTAAATAAATGTCTAGCCTAAGTTGATTTAAATGTATATTAATGATTAAAAAAAAAACAATTTGCAAATTCACAACCGTGTATGGAGAAATTTTTTTCAATCTTAGTGGAACAGGACTAGTGAATTACTCATTATTTGTGTAATTGAAATTAGGATTAACTTAGTTGATAAGTGGGTGAGTTCACACTTCCCACATTATCATCTAACTATAAAGTTTGAATTCTTGAAAACATTATAATAAAAATATATTTTTTTGTAAATATACAAATTGGAGTGTCAATGATCTAGTTAAAACTCGACTGGAAAGGAACTAAGTTTCAACACAAAAAGCTGCTGAACTAAAAATATTTTTACGATTAAAATTGAAAAGAGAGAGTGAGAGAGAGATTAGGATGAGCTGATTAGGCAAAGATATTGAGTTAGGGTAGTTTATTAAATTTTCGTCAATGTCTATTTTAGAGGTGGCTCGGAGTGGTCTTTAAACTAGTGCGCGTTCTTATTCTTATAGCCCAATTGACCGGTATGGTTCGAATTGGGAAAAAGTTTTGCGCGTGCGTTTTCTTCTTCGACATTTTTCAATGACACGTAAGATTATATGATTCTAGCTCAGAACCAGACTGGTTTTTTTTTTGGCGTGCGCCAGGTTACGAATGCGATAGAATTAGTAAAATTATTTTAATTTGATGATATGTATTATATTTTAAATTTATAAAAATATATGAAATTAAAGATATATATATATATATATTTTTTAATCTTAATTTTATATTTATCTATTTTTTTTGTATTTTTTTTAATAATTTTTTTATTAAAAAAGTTATTCTTCTTATTCCACGGATTCTTATTTAAAAAGAAAATTAAATAAAAAATTTAAAAAATTTTAGTATTTCATAAGATTATGTCGAAAAAATAAAGTAACAATCACCAAGAAACTTACATAGACTTTAACAAATAAAAAATTTTAAATTTTTTTTATTTAATATTGACCAAAATATTAATTTTTTAAAGCATGCGCATTTGATGTTTATTTATTTATTCACAAAAGAATGGATAATATTATAATAAAAAATTATATTTGAATCATTAGAAGATTACATCAAAACATAATTTCAATTATTTAATTTAAAAGAAATTAATTTCAAAATATCCAAAAAAAATGATAAATAAATAATAAATGCTTAGTATTGTAGAAATAGCATAGTTAATTTATAAAAAAATAGCAATTCAATTTTTTTTATGCATCATGACTACACTAAGTAGGTTCAAAATTTACAACGTAAAATAAAAAATACTAACTTATAAGAAATATATTGAATAAATTTGAAGTTAATAGACTAAAATAAAAATTATTATAAAATTAATTTTGATAAATTTTAATTATATATAAAAAAGAAAATAAAACATGTAAATTTTCTTCTTTTTTTCGTCTTAAATAATTTTTTATTTCTAGACCATACATGGCTAGTTTTTATTCACAAGTCTCACACATAGAGCAATCATCTCTATTTTGTTTCTCGCATTTGACTTTCAATTATTAATTAGCTAATTAATTTTATTAAAAAAATCAAGATAAATTATTTGAAATACAATTTTAATGTAAAAAGTGTATTTCAAACAAATTATATATGTGTATGCATAAATACTGAAAAAAATAATGATTCATAAGTGTGTGAATAGTAAAAATTTATTTTATTTAAGTGTTTTTTGTTAATTGTTAATATTAATTGTGGATACTGTTGCTGCGTGATGTTCAATTTATCTACGGAATGTACAACAAACCCATTCTTTTCTAAACATTTTGGTTATGCATTATAGCAATATAACTGCTTAGCGCTAACTAAAATTATAAGTATCAATTCAACGGGGCCAAAATGCCTGCTAATGCTAATGCCTTGAGGCAAAAAATAAAAAATAACCTACTTTCACTTAAAAGTTTTGTTTTTTTAGAATTTATTTTCCTAACAAATTCAAATGATGAATTTATGATATTTACTATTTAATGCATGAGATTCTCATTTAATACATCAAATATTTGGAGAAAAAAATATTTAGTAAAATTAACACTACTCATGCACTAATTTATATCTTGACATAATTATATTATAAATATCTCATATGTCTAATCACAATGTGATAGCTTATTAGTAAGAAAGTGTTAACTTATAAGCCAGATTCATGATTCAACATTTGCGGCTAATACTTTTAAAAATTTATTCTCGGATTACCTTAGACCGAGCGTCGAGGAGTGCTTCTTAACCATCTTCAAGGAGGGATGAGTTTTTAGATGTGTGAAAACTGATCCGAAGACACCTTTATTACTGAAAAACAATTCTCATATTCGCTAAAGTGATATATTTTTTTTTTAATTTAAATCTTTCAACATAAATGAAGGTTGACATCTTATTAGGTGATATCTCAATATCACTATTCCCTTTTATAGAAATTTTTTAATGATTTATACAAATCTTTTACCATCTCATTGAATTTAATATATGGTAAGCCGTTTAATTTTCTTATTTTGATGAAAGACATTTCGCACATAATCATGGTTCCATCAAATATCAACAACTCCTCCAAGACTTGCCATCAAAATTCTTGTCCCTGGGGTTGGACTTGTATTGTCCAAGCATGATTTTTCTATTCAAAGAGCCCTCCAGAAACGAGCCGTCCAACCAAACTTGAAATCACAATTTAGGCCTCCGGTTACGACTTTAATTAGTTAAGAAAAGTTTTATTATTATTATTATTATTATTATTGTACTTAAATTTGAAATAATATATCTGCCTTTCTTTCTTTTTTTTTTAATTAGTATTTTTTTATACCGACTTCAACCAAATAAGCTTTAAAATAAAATAAATAAAAGATGATTAGGATGAGTTTTACAAAACAGTTAATCTCTCAATATTAAGAATACATGAACCAAGCTAACTTGTGTGAATTGTAACTATTTCTTTTGAGGTTTTTGAATATTGAAATTGAAAAAAGAAACTAAAATCAAACAAATTAAAAGGGCTACAATAGCCTTTTAAATCCCTTGTTAAAAAATCTTGACTTCTCAAACTGGTTGAATTGTAAGATTGAAAGACAAATAACTTAAAATAAAACTTGAATTGAGATAAAAGTTAAACTTTTTAATTTAGTATGCAATATACATAATGATATTAAAACAATAAACTATAAATTGAAGTAATTAAACACTAAGATCAAAGGCTTGCAAGATAAAAGAAAACTGAACATCTTATAGATTAGCAACAGTACTGCAATCTTCCAGACATAATAGTTAATGGAGGAGCTACAGAAGATGGTGGATGCAAGCACAAATGGAGGATTGAAAACAAATTACCAATCTATAAGTTATAGTCTACCGATTATCGCTTACAAGCTATCGCCTACAAATACATCGCATATAATTACTGTTTAACAAGTTTTAAATGTGAAACTTATGGTTGATAATGCTCCTTGAGCTGTTTGAAAATCTGCAAGAGCATGCTTGTTAGGTTGTATTGTTGTATGTTCTTTCTTTTGGCTTCAGCTGGTATTTAAAAACTTTCTCCTCCTCCACAACTTCTAGTAGTGGACCACAATCTCCAATGGTGGTTGCAGTGCCTTATATTTCTTTTTGCTTGCACTGCAATGCATTTGTGTTTTCTCTTCTTACGCTGCAGTGTCCTGCTCTGTTGCTCCTTGTACTGCAATTGCCATGCTCATCCTAATGTATGAGGTTGTGTTTTATAATTTTATTATTACTTCGAATTTGTTGTTCTCATAACTATTTGTCCACTATTAGTAACTAGACATCTGGGTTTTTTTTTTTAGATGGGATTTCCACGTTCTATCCAGTTCATAGAGTCCATCTTCAATCGGCTTGGGGGGACAGCTCTAGCTCTTAAATTTGAAGTAACTAACTGGACTCTTCATGTGCATGTTGGGCCTAATACGGGTATTGGATTTAAATGCCTAGCTACTGATCTTTTCTTTAATGTACCTAACTTGATATGCTCTTAAATGAGATTAACTAGTAAGTCAATTTCGAGAACTTGATGGGTTTATCTCAAATCTTGTATCTAATTTATTGGGCTCATGTTTAAAATAAATTTGGGTAAAAAAAAAAAAAAACATATTTACTAAATGTTAAAAAAGTTCCTTTTCAAAAAAAAAAAAAAAAAAGAATAATAATAGCTAGTATTGAAAAATACTTTATTTATTTGAGAAGAATGATAAAAAAGTAAAACATTTTGAACAATAAAAGTAAGGTTTTTTGTGTTTCCCTTTTATTTCAATAAAGGTTTTTTATTTCTGAAAGAAATCAATATTGATACACCAGAGTTGGGGGGGGGGGGGGGGGGGGTTGTGGGGGGGGTGTGGGAGTGGGGAAGTACTCCATTGCCGGCTTCGGCTTCCTTGGCAAAAACATCGAGTGTGAATATAGGCCATAACGAAGCCCAAGAGAAAACTGTGCTTTGCTGTAATGAGCTCATGCAAAATATTGTTTGGGGATGGAATCGATAGTAGCCCAGTAACTGAGATATTTTTTAATGTTTGTCCTCTTATCACTAATATCTGTCATTCTGTCTTGCTCTTGTTACTTGTTAGCCTGTCCAATCGCCTTTATTTGGTTTTCCAAAATCTTGTCAAGTCGAAGAAGGGAGATCAGTTGCCCGTCTTGCAACTTTCTAGACCATTGACCCCAGAAATTCACGATCAAAACTAGTGAAATGGGAAACAATTCAGTCGAAGATGAAGAAGCCAATGCTGTCATGGAGGTGAACAGGGATCGCTTGAACTTGATGCACCAAAAAATCTCTGATGCACCAAAATTATTGACCAAAGCAGCTGCTAACAGTTCATGTTGCATCTTTAAAGTCCCCCAAAGGTTCATTGATATCAACGGTAAGTCCTACCAACCTCATATCGTCTCAATCGGACCTTATCACCATGGCGAGGCACATCTTAGGATGATCGAAGAGCACAAGTGGAGATATTTAGGGTCTTTGTTGTCTAGGACACAAAACGAAGGTGTGGACTTAGAACTCTTGTTGAAGGCAATACAGCCATTAGAAATGAAAGCAAGAGAGCGTTACTCGCAAGTTATCCATCTTGGCTCGGATGAATTTGTTGAAATGATGGTTCTTGATGGTTGTTTTATTATAGAATTGTTTCGTAAAGTTGGAAATGTTGTTGAATTTGAGGTCGATGACCCCATTGTCACCATGGCATGGATCATACCTTTTTTCTACAGGGATTTACTTAGACTAGAGAATCAAATTCCTTTCTTTGTTCTTCAGTGTTTATTTGATATAACAAGAATGACAGGAGAAGAATCTGGCTGTTCTTTGTCCAAACTTGCTTTGGACTTCTTCAATTATGCTCTCCAAAGACCAGATCATATTATTGCCAGGCACGATCATCTCAAAGCCAAACATCTACTTGATTTAGTTCGTTCAAGTTTCATAGATTTTGAGCAAGGCCAACCACTCTGCGTGGACACATCGACTCCTATGATTCATTCAGTATCCAAACTTCGCCGTGCCGGAATACGGCTCCGTCAAGGAAATCCTGCGGATAGTTTCTTGGTGGTGAAATTCAAGAATGGGGTGATAGAAATGCCTACCGTAACCATTGATGATACCATGAGTTCTTTTTTGCTAAATTGTGTAGCTTTCGAGCAGTGTCACAATGGTTCTTCCAAGCATTTCACGACCTATGCAACTCTTTTGGACTGCCTGGTTAACACCTTCAAAGATGTAGAGTATCTATGTGACTGCAATATTATTGAGAATTACTTCGGCACCGATTCAGAAGTTGCAAGATTCATCAATGATTTGGGCAAAGAAGTAGCATTTGATATCGAAAGGTGTTATTTGTCCAGGTTGTTCAGTGATGTTCACAATTATTACAAGAATAGTTGGCATGTGCAATGGGCAAGCTTCAAGTATACTTACTTTAACACTCCTTGGTCTTTTATATCTGCATTGGTTGCCTTGATTATCCTACTTCTTACTGTGGCTCAAACCTTCTACACCATTTATGGCACTTACAAAAAATAAACCATTTATGTGCTTATCTAGTGGCTATCTTTAAGAAGATATACTATATGCTTGACATATTGTATAGTTTTTTGGTTTGTTTGTTGTTCCTATTATTTCAATGAAAGTTGGATGATCAAAAGGGCACCACCAAACATTCAAGGAGATTTCTCAGCATAGAATCAAACCAGACATTCATCCCTCATGGTAAAGAAGACAAAGATTAGTGCACTTAATGTTTTTTAGTGTCCGATGATCTTGCAATAAGTACAAGTTAAGCTTTTAGGTAAAATAGTCTTTTAATATGTTATCGGATCTTGATTGACCTCGAAGTTTTGAGTTCAAGTATCACATTTTTTAAGTACTAAGCAAAAAACAATGTAGACTCATATAAGTTTCAAGCTCAAACGTTGGAGAAGATGGTCTTTTAATAATATTTCAAATTCAAACTTCAAATTAATTTTTTATTGTTTTGTCGAATTCAAAAAACAAAAAAATTACTATCAAGAAATTTTTTTAAAATAAATAAAATTTAAAATTTAAAACTATTTACTTAAACAATTAAAGTTTATTCCATTAATGAAAACAAATAACTAAAACTATTTTTTATCAATTCAATCCACTTATTACTGTAAATGTATTTTTTTAAGATTTAGGTTACTTTCTCGTCGGCAGAAGCAACCGTACGTGGCAGCAATCAAGTGGGAAAGAAAAAGTTGTAAATTACGACCATCGATTTGAGCAATACAGAAATAATCGATTACAAGTTACGTAAGAGGCACGAGGTCTTCAATTAAGTGAGTGCTGACTCATTAAGGTTGTGAACTTCTATCTAACCCATTTCTTTTATAAGCTGAAGAATTGGAGAAAAGTCTTACATATATTTCGGAAGCGATCCAGACTATCTAAAGAAACTTCATAAATAAACTAAGGGAAAATCACTATTTTAATTCCTTATGTTTGTGGGAAATATTCATCTTACCATATGATTGTAAAATGGCCATTTGACATCAAAAGTAAAATACAGGTAAATTTTTTTAATAAAAAATGCCATTAAATATGATGAGATGACATTTTTATTTTTATTATTTTATTTCTGATTATTTTTTTAAAAAAAACATATTATTCTTTCATATATATATTCCTCTGCACTAAGAAATTGTTCTTGTGTTTATTTATTACAAATATTTTAATTTGAAGAATATTATGTTTTTTTTAGTTATCAGAAATAAAATAATAAAAATAAAAATAAAAGTGTCAATATATGTATAAAGACCAAACAATTGGTATGTGAAGAGAAAAATGATAATTAACAAAAAAAAGGGAAAAAAAGGACATGAAAAAATAAATTTGGTTGTTAATAAAAAATTAATATTAATATGCAATTTTTTATATTTTCTTTTTCGTCGTTAAGAAAAGTTACTAAGAAGAATTTATTCTTTGAATTTACGATTTTTAACTACGTATTTTTACTTTTTTTTTTTTTTTTTTTTGAAGTTCTTTCATCACCTCTAGATCATTGAACTCATAATTAACAAAGAAATTCAGCATAGGACAGGTTATATTAAAAAAAAGAAAAAGAAAAAAGAAAAAAGAAAAGAAGAATCAGGCCCAAGTGGTGCTACCCTCAAGTGCAGCCTGCAGAAGCAGGCCCAGGGCAGGCCGGGCCTTTTTTTCTTCTTCCAACAATTTATTTTTATATTTTTTTCATGTAATTATACGTGAAAATTATAGAAAATATATAATTATTTTTAATTTTTAAGTATAATTTGACAATGATGAAATATATATGATATATTTTAAGATTCTAGGCTAAACTTATATATCATATTATATTACTTTTATTGTTTAAATTTTTTTTAATTTATCATTTCTTATTGAAATTCTCATAAATTTATTTTTTTAATTTTTTGATATAATTTTATTTTTTAAGAAAAATGGTGTGTGTTTTTTATATGTTTATTTTGAAATAAAAATTTTGAACATGATCACATATATATATATATATATATATAATGATAATTTATACAATTAATTTTTAAATAAGAGTAACATAATTGCATATATTTATATATAAGGCTAAAAGTGTATTTTAGATAACTTGACTCATTTTTTTTTAAATATATTTAATTAAAAAATTAAAAAATAAAATTCATGGTTTTATTTGTTTATATAATCAAAACTTATTAGAACCAATTTTGTAATAGCTTTTATTTTTCTCTATTGACTTCAATATATTTGATGCAACCTAGGTGATATATATATTTGAATCATTTTTTTAAAAAAAGTTAACTATATATTGCACATGTAATATTATTTTTTTTTCATATTCTAAAATCAATATTTTTTAAATAAAATAATTAAAATAATATTTTAAAACAATCTCTCGATTATTGAAACACAGCTGAAATTCATGACTGTTTTCTGATAGTGATCCGAATGTTTTTGCACGGAAGGTGTCAACGCAAATTCATAGTGCTTCCAATCGATCAGCATAACCTTCCTAGGAGATTCAATTACTAAATTATTTCATCACGATTATATCTTTTTGCTGGATAATTTTGACTATGAAACAAAGTTAAAAATGTTTGACCTTTGAAATTTCAACCAAACGGTAGTCAATAAGTAATTAACAATGTAAAGAGAGAAGAGAATTTAAAAAAAAATAATAATGTTAAGAATTTTTTTTATAATTTTTTTTTTTGCTTTTGTTTTTTTTGTTTTTTTTTATCTATCTTCCCCTCAAAATAAGTTTATAAAATGATTATTATTATAACTGAATTTAACAGGGTATTTAAAAAAGATGAGTTTTTCTCTTATGTATTACTTGAGGCTGAGACTCTCTCATTCTATACACACACACATATAGCGTCACAAAGAGTATTTTACAGAAATCAGATAATAACAAAAGATAAATACAGAGGTTAAAAGTTACTTCCATCCTTAGCTGATGGCAGTAACAAATTGCTGTTGGGGTTACTGTCACCAATTAATTGTTGTTGCTGCTAGTGCCCGTAAGGCACCAACAAGCATCCACAAACTAATTGTAAAGGTATCTCTATATATACATCAAATTTTTTACATACAATGGATTAAAACAACGGTGAAACCACCACCCCAGCCCCCCCCCCCCCCGGGTCTTTGTATTATGTAATTTGATGTTTTAACTCTTTTATCTGGTTATGATTCAAATCAAACTTGTATTATTTAAAATTAACATAAATCAATCCTTATATATATATAAGCAGTCAATGAGATATCGTTAGATCGATTTTTACATCGATCGATAATAAGTTTACTATTTTTCGAGCTAAATCAACATTATTACATGCTTAATAATTACTCGATTATTGAGCTCTATCTTATATCAAATTATCCCAAGTTTGGGATCATTAAAATATAATTATGACTAGTTATCCGTGGTTAAACAAAATATATTGGTTGTATCTTTCCATCCAATTTCATTAAACTTGTTCCATTAAATTGACAATATTCATTAAATTGACTATAGTTTGACCATCATATGATGGGATGTGTCCAATCCAATACTAAAAACATAATTTTGTGAGGAAAATCAGTTTTTAAAAGTTAGAAATAATTTAAAATTTTAATTATTATTTAAAAATAAAAAAGGAAAAACTTATTTTGAATTTTCTGAATTCTCTTGCAAAATAAATATTATATTTTTAACATTAAATTCAACATAATAATTAATTATTTTAGCTTAATTCTGAGTTAATTATGCTGAAAATAAAATATTATTTAAAACATTATTTTAAGTTAATTATGCTGAAATTTTCAGACGGTTTTTTTTTTTAAAAAAAGAAGTCACAAAATTCAATATATTTTTTTTCATTTTTTAAATAATAATTATTCATTTGAACTTATTTTCCATCAGAAAAAAACTTTTTTTAATCTTTAATTGACACGTGTTATTATATAATTGATCAAATGTTAATCAATTAATAAAATTTGATTAATCTAACGGAACATATTAATAGAATTGTATGAAGAACTGATTTTTCTCAATTTTGAATAATTCAGAAAATGATTTGCACTATAATTGAGTAATGATATAAAGAAAGTCAAAATTGAATAGTACAAAGGCATTGATTGATTTTCACGTAATTAGAACAAACATTTCATTTGGTTGTTGAACAAAATTTCCTTGTAATGGAGCATATTTTCTGATTCTCGTGCGGCACGCCGTGCCCAGTTTCTAAATGCAACGTGTCCCCTTAATCATCGAAAGACAATTGAGGTAAGATATAGACTTCTTGCAATGGAGTAAATTTCCAGTGACGGAACTTTAATGAGAAGAAAATAACGTAAAATTTATTTATCTAAATGTAATTGTGATTTCTTTGAATCTTTTGTAGGTTGAAATAATTGAATAGTTTAGCAATTTGAGTTATAATAGAAAAATAAATAGAGAATATTTTAAAATATAATTGTAATCTTCGTTATTCATATTTCATAAATTGAATTAAGTTTGAAATTATATCTACCGAAACTAAAGTCTATCATTTTTTTAATTAGACTAATTTTAGAAAATATTTAAATTTTAATACGTTATTAAACTTTTTTATAAATCAAATTATTATATTATTAAAAAATAATTATGGTTAGTTATTCTTGCACTGTATAGATTAATTCACTTATTAAGTATATTTTTCTAAGGACTAGAATTGATTAAAAATTAATGTTTACAGTTTCCCTAGATCATCCAGTACGAATGCTCAGAAAAAGGAAAAATGCTATTATTATTATTGCTCGGTATTAAATGACGATAAATAAATTCTTGGAATATCTAATCGTTTGCCTAAAACTCAATGACAAAGAAAGCTAGGCCAACTGGAGATAGAGTCAATTATAACTTCGGTCCCTATAACTTAGACAATTGATGGATTATTAGTCTTCATGACTTTAGAAATTATATATTTAATTTCAATATTTTTAATCTCCCTATAATATATCGATTGTTTTTTAATTATTTTTTTAAAAAATAGAAAACACAAATTTTTTTTTCCTGAAATTTTTAAGAAAAAAACGTAGTTCTGGAAAAAAAAATATTAAATTGAGAACAATCAACTATGAGAAATATTATAAAAATAATAGACTAGTTTTGATAAACTACCCTAAATTATTATTAACTCTCGAAGATATCCTTTGAGTGAGAGGTTGTCAAGAGTATAACCTCAAGTTGTGGGTCACTTATTATTATTATTAATTTTTTACAGAATAATTTATTTATTTATTTATTATTTATTTACTTGCGTGAGCATTAAGAAGCCAATAATAAAGTTCCTCTTCCACCGTGACGTGAGGAGTGGGGACCAAGCCAAGAACAAAAAAACGATGACGATTCGTTAAGTCAAAAATCAAACAAAGGAAAGGATGAGCGAAGAGAAGAGCCGGCAACGTAGACCAATCATTAGCCACCAACTCATCACCATTCTGACCACTTGCCAACTTCACATGAGCTGTCACCCTTCAAATATTGTCTATATAAGAAAAAGTCATAAATATGATATAATCCATTCATAAATAAAAATTTAATAAAAAGACCTTAGGGTTTCCTCCTTAAATCCGTCTCCGCCTCTTCCGCTTCCTTCTACAGACGCGTCTCTCTCATATATATATCTTTTTACCATAAGAATCTGTTGAAAAATTTTAGGGTTTTCTTAGTCATTAATGCGTAGTATTTGTTTTGAAATCTAAGATCTGATTAAACTGTTCAGTTGCTGTTACTGATATCGAAAAAATAGTTGATAAAAAATTGATTTGAAGCGAAAAGGATTTTAGATCTGAGATCGATTTAGTGATATGAAGCGATCAAGGAAATCAAACAGGGTTTCGTGGGCACCAGGTCTTAATCTTTGTCAGGTATACCTATAATTAATTTAATTTATCAATCTTTTTATCTTCTTTTATTTCGCAAATAGATCGAACAGCGATTCATGTTATTGTCAAAATATGGTGATTTATACTGATTGAAAAGGCACCAATGTTTCCACCGTTCAATCTAGAGGTGTTGAAGTGGATTGAACGGCGAGAAAGGTGCAACAGAATGGCTAGCCCTGCCTGTGTGTTTTTCTGAATTAATCACGGTTCAGTTGTGCCTTTTTTTGACACATTTGAACCCTTGTGATGCACGCTGGCGGAAATTTGATTCTAGTTCCAGTTTCTTTCTTTCTATATATAGTTATTTACTCTACTTTGATGCATTTAAATGTGTATAATAATTATGCTTCAATGATGATTTATTTGTTTTAATGAAGAACAATAAAAGATTTGATAAGATTTGTAAGCAAAACACAACAATATTATTTACTTAATTGAAAATATGATTTGTTTTAATGAAGAACAATAAAAAGCTTGATAAAGGTAAACTTTATTATATTACTTGATCGAAAAGATAATATAGGCCAGGAAAGAACGTGGGATTATTTTAATGAAGAGTGATAAAGTAATCCTTTTGCAGCATTACAGGAAGGGACTTGCTTGAAAGAATAGGGTTCCTTTGATGTTTTTGCTTATGAATAAGTTTTTCAAGTGAAACAACAATTAATAATATGGTTATTGGTAGGACAGACAAGCTATCCATCTACAATCCCTCGATTGAAGTATACAATTTTATATCAGAAAATCTCCAGAAATTGGTTGTAATTGTTGTTTCTTGAAAGCCTCAACGTTTCTTACAATAAAACACCCAACCTTGTTGAAAATAAACGAAGAAAATTGCATAAGAACTAGAAAAAACTTGTTGAAAATAAATGAATAAAATTGCATAATATCTAGAAAAAAAGATGAGGACGATGGTTACTTAATTATACTGTTAACCATGAAACACGCTGACTTGGTACAGAGAAATAAAGTAAAATTGCTTAAGAATAAAATGGAGGCTGGTTGAATGATTATTCTATGAGATATAACAATCTTTTAAGATCTCTCAAATTGTGGGTAATTCTTAAAATGTTTAAGCTTTAATATTGCTGCAAATTTAGCATTAAATGGTTATATAAGATACACTTGGGTACAAATGGATGAAATTAATCCAGTCATCCTTAACATCATGATGAAATTAACTCGGTTGGCAGCTTGTGTACTTTGGTTTGGTGTATGTTTCAGCTCACCTTCTTGGTGATACATCACATGTTCCCCTGTCTTAGGTTTTAGTTTTCGTTCAAAATGGATTTCTCAATGTTAATTTTGTTAATCAACGCTTGGGAGGGTTTTTTCCAACAAATTCATGTCTTAGTTATGTAAGCTGTAATATGGTATAGGCTGTAAGAATCAGGTGTCCAAAACTTCGCCTTCGTAGACATCAGTGTTACATGATTGCATCAGAATCTCCGATGCTGTCCTGAGTTTGGAGTGCATGGGTTAGTGTAGACTGTAGAAGGTGGAAATATTTTTCCACTCATCTATAGCTGGGCATTGTGTCTGGAGTGCTTAGCCAAAGGCCTTTCTTAGTTATATAAACTGCTTACTGATTTGCATCTTTTGAATCTGAATTAAATTCTCTCGTAGGTTATTAGCAAGCACAAGTGAGATGCATCAGGCTATGCATCAGACTATTGAAAAATTTGGAAGGTGTAGAACATACTGAAAACTTTCTTGATATATAAGTGGAAAAGTTGCTGGAGATTTAATTTCTGACTGATGATCTTCCAATTGTAGTATGAGTGCTCATTATTTTTTCATAATTGCAAACAATATAATAGCAGGATTTGATTGGGATGAATTATTAAATAAGATGCCAGACACTTCGTGTGCATTCATGATCTTGTGAGCCAAATTTAATGTGCTTGATGCAAGTTTGTTAAGTGGTTAATTTAGTTTGGGTTTTATATGAACACTGCTTGTTCACACTGACATAATGCCTTTGTTGACAGGTAGTTTTCCACTACCATAGAGTATTCTTTTTTAGGTCATATCATGGTTGTGTGAGAATTTACTGGTGTCCAAGTATGTACTTGTGCTGATTGGTTGGTAACTGTTTGCAGTCTTCTAACTAATTTTTGAGTAGTTTCTCTTCTTTTTTAGTTTTTTGAGAATTCCCATTTATGTTTTTGTAATGATACAAGGTTTGCGACTCATACTGGATATTAACTTCTTGTTATGGATTTGTTTCCGATGTTAAATAGGTGAAGCTGTTTCTATCTGAGGATTGCCCTTCAAAAGTTGGTGGATATGTCCAAGATCATCTTCAGAAAAAGGCATCATGGCTTTTGCCGCAGTCAAGCAGTAAGGAATCATGTGATCTCCCCCTGGATTTGAAGGCAGTCACTTTTTGAATCCATATAAAAAGGAATTATCCTGCATTTCTAGGGTTCAGTGGAGGTGCCCTCCCAAAGTAAGCAGAATTTCCTAGTTATTTTCTTTTTTACTTTCATAAATATGCTGTTTCTTATGCACCATGTAGTGACATCATAATGCAATGAGATGATGTTAATTAGACCTTTTGGATGTAGAATGTGGTGTCAAGTGATTAAATCCTTAACCCCAATTGCTTGCTTTTCTCTTCTGTAAACAGTTTATTGTGAGTTACAACTGGCGTGTCTCAGCTGGAGAAGAAAGCCAGGAATCAGAGGCTCAAAAGCTGAGGGAAATGAGAGTTCTTGAAGCAGTTTATCCACGCCTTTCTTCTGTTCCTCCCAGGTAAAATTTCTTATTCTTGTAAACCAAGATTCTAAAAATAGTCTGCATTTGACTTGGCCTCAAACGTTCTTTTTTGTATAGCCCTGCTGTTTCTTTGGAAGTAGAAGGTGAAAATTATGCTGATAGCCTCACTCCAATCATCCCTATCATTCCTGTTGAAGAAGAGGAAGCTACAGAAATGCCATCTGCTTTGACAGAACCATTGAAAACTACCACAACTTCCCAGTCACCAGCATTACCTCCACCTTCATTGTCATCTGGTACCCTAAACTCTTCAAAACACAACACCGCTGCTCTAAATCCACCTGCAAGTCAAAAACTAGAATGTGGAAGATTACCAAATCCAGTTACTCATCTAATCACAGCAGCAGAAACTGCTGTTACTGCTATCATGAAAAGCAAGGAGCAAGGAAGCTTGATTGACACTGACTTACTTGTTAAAATCTTAAGCGACCCAAAAATGATTGAAAAACTAACCAATGGCAATCAAGCACCACCTGTTACATCTAGGCCAGCTACTAGCTCCATTTCCCCATCATGTGCAAAATCTGCTATCGTATCAGGACCATCTCTTGCTAATGGAGAACTGCTTTACCTATCTAGTGAGGAGCTGACTAGGTCAAAGCTAATGAGTCAGATTGCCTCATCCTGTCCGAAACCTGCCGTACATATGCCGCTGATGCCTTCTAATGGAAGCTTGCATCAGCGACGTAGTGAGGTACAATCAAAGGTAACTAGAACTTCAGTGCATCAGGATTCAACTGTTCCAGCAATTGGATCAGAGGTAGCTTCATCTATTTCTATGGCCATTCCAGAATCTGGCAAGGTCTCAGCACCTAGGCCACCAGTTGGAAACTTGTTTTCCACCTTGAATTCAGTGCAAACTACACCAAGGACTGTGCCTACAGAATCAAATACACCCAAAATATCTTATTTCAAGGGCATGAATTTTGATTTGGCGAAATCCACTCTGGTTAAGACGCCAATCCAACCATTCAGCGTTCCTCAAGCAGGTATGAAAACTAACTCTGTGAAGGATGTGAGCTACATTAAGAACCTCATAAAGGAACATGGAACAGTAAAGACAGAAATGAAGGATCGGAGTCCGTTCTATAATGGAAGTCATTATTATAATCATACTCAAAACCCAGAATCGACACAAAACTTGAAAAAGAGAGAATTGAAACCCAAGTTTCAGAAGCCTTGTTTGTATTTTAAAACTCCAAAGGGATGCCGAAATGGCTCTGATTGCCCCTTCCAGCATGATTTACCATTCCAGTTTCAAACTGGTAGTGCTATGGAGCCCCCGGTTGCAAAGAGAATGAAATTTAGTGGGGAAATCACCGGGAGGACGTGACCTTTTTCGTGAAGTTGGACCCGAGCTGTTAACAAGAGAGCTTAAACCTGTAAACCAATTCCGATCACAATTTTTCTGTAGATTTTGTACAGGGTTAAGACACCTAAGGGGGAAAAGGTAGAAGAGTTGTCAATTTTCGTTAAACAAAAAAAAAAGTGTTGGTGCACTGGCGTTTTGAAATGGAAATTTATTTATTTATTTATTTTTCAAGATCAGATAGGAAAGGAAATGAGTATATGGCTGGCGTTTCGAAATGGAAATTCCTTCATTTGTTTTAAGATCAGGTACCATTTGCAAGTGATTTTGTTAATATCTGGCGCTTCTGAAAAAAAAAACCAAAAAAAGGGGGAATCCCAGCTCTTTTCTCGTAAAAAGATCTTAACATTATCATGGAAAGTTGATAAAAAAAAAACAAAAAAGTCGGTGATGACGATTGGAGAGAGACTGGACGAGAGTTGAATTATTTTCTTGAAAGTTGTTTGGTTGGGAAAATTATTTTGAATGAATATTCGAAGTTGAAGCTGAATGGCATTATTTTTGCAATTCCTAATTTTTATTTACCTTACTTGGAAGATGCCTTGATCAATGGAAACGAATAAAATGGCAATACAGGAAAAATTATATTTTAACTGTAACCACCGCAATCTTTTAATTGTTTATGTCTTTCTTGTTCGTATGAATCACAAACAATTTAAGGGTATAAAATAACAACGGATCAAATATAATATTGTGTGTTTTGTGAGAGGAAATAGGATATTATTTGATACTCTTTGATTGTGGCCAGGCAATCAATAACACTGATTTCAATCTAACTAAAAAGATTTTCCTAAAGCAAGTCTTCAAATGCCAGCACTTTCGTGGGATCTACTTACTCAATGAATGGATTGCAGGCGTTACTTCTTCCATAAGGTTTACCTCCTCGTTACAAAAACTGCTAAAGAGAGAGTAGCTTTACTGTTGAATCTACGAGTAAACTGACATTCAAAATGTTGAGATAAAGCGGACATGGCAGAGACGTCTCCTGCTATTAGAGATTCAAAAATCTCGAGTTTGAATCTCGACCAAGTATCCTAATGAATCCATGAATTTATTTTTTTCTGAACACATCAGTCACCAGCCATTGTGCAAATTGTGATCTCCATTTACATATAAATTTGGATCTTCTTTATTTGGAAATAACAACTCTTTCATCGCCGAAAGGTTACACATAAATTCCACGGCCTTTTATTAACAAAACTATAAAAAATTTCCCCTGCGTTGCTAATAAGCCTAATACCAAAACTCTGGTTAATCCATGTGCTTAAGATCATTCCTTCAGAGTACGGTCACACAAGTTACACTAGCAAAGCCATTTTGTATCACACCACTCAAATTCCTGCCGTCTAAAACAAACTAATTGTTAAGAATTAAAGGGCACACCCAGAAATCATCCAGAAGTTATATAAAAGCTCTTATTATAGAGTCAATTGGATTTAACCCATAGCACACCCAGATATCATCCAGAAGCAATTCAATCCCAAGCACACAAGTCTGACCGGAGTCAGGGGACGATGCATCAATGAATGAGTCAAAAACTAATTCACACAATAAGAATGACGATTGATGTAGCACCATCATGTGGTCATTATGAAGTTAATGAAAGCAAAAACAATATTGTAAATGCTTGAATCTGTTTGCAGAGTACGTGAAAATCTGTTCAATACATGCCATGCTTCTCCCTGCATGGTTAACCAGTCCTCAGAATGATGTGAGCTCCACTGTCAGTATCCACTATGTCACTTATCTCACCAACCTTAAGAGAGAAGGTAGTTTCTTCAAAAGGCTTCTGCATCTGGCCTGGACCAAAGGGTCCTGTAAAAATATTTACAAGGAATTTTATTTCGACCAAGACATTTGATGACAAGATGATACAGATACTACACTTAATGAAACCGACAGAACCAACTTGTAACTAAAATTTCAGCAATTATATTTACAATGAGCTGGTGTTCAAAATATAGCAAAGTCGCATTGAATTCACATGAATGTAGATTATGCAGCCTCCAAACACAGTATAACACTCTCTCAACTTTGTTCTCATCCCACATGCACACACATATTGTTGCTTATATCCCACATGCACACACATATTGTTGCTTATGTAGCAAACACCTCTGCTGGTTTCAACAAATTTGATATTATGGCCTATTATCTATTTGAGCATTGGTGGCTGCCTAGCCACCACAAACCTGAACAAAAGCTTAATTGAGCTGGGTGGAGTCAAAGCTTCAAGCTTAGTAGAAAAATAGATGATTGAGGAGAAATAGAAAAATAATCTACTAGAATTCCTGGCCCGTCTTAGTTGAAGGTTGTTCCTGGCTAACTTAATGCTTTCTCCGGTTTCCCAAAACCATCATCATGTACTTGATAGTTTATCAAATACATGAATCTAATAATCTAACCTAATCAAAGTCACACCAACAACTGAAATGGTTTCCTAAAAACAAGGTCATTCAACTTACATGAACTCCTGGCTGGTTCTGCTCCTACAGGCAGGGAGGATAATGTAAATGTGGATCACTAAAAACATGGTCACAAATCACCAGTCATGACTAAACCAGGAATCTATCAATCTAAAACATTGAACTAAATGACAAACCAAGAGACATGCAGCCTTGCAGGCATTCCCACAAAATACACCTTCATTCAATAAAATTTAACATAACCACAAAAAACAAGCTTAGAGGTATACTGTCACTGCAAAGGCATCATACTCTTCAAAGACATTTATTACTAAGCGAGTCTTTCTTCCCATTTATTGTATTTACATGTTCATCTCAAGTTATCTCAAATCTGTTGACGCAACAGCAATTCCATGGAGGCTGTAATTGAAACAGAAGAGCAACATTCTAGGGCCAATTTCTTTGAAATTGTTTATGCGGCCTCCCAATAAAGTGTCTGTGTATAAGAGTTTTATTTGACTAAGTTCTTGTCATATGTGAGCAAGCTTGATGTTACTCATCTCACAACAAATGCAGATGGGTTCAACTAATTTGGTATTAAGGCTTAGAGTTCTTTTGGGATTGGGCAGAGTTCTAGTCTATTTAGAATTTAGATGACGTAAAAGAGAAATACATTAAGAATCTGAGTACATATTCTTGCCTTGAAAGTTCTCTCTTGATCCTTTCCCTAATTTTTACAAAAATATCATATACATAATAGTTTGCAGAAGTCATATAACAACAATAGCATAACTAAATTAATGCTAACAATTTGGTACCCCATGAAAAATGGTCAAACACCACCAAGGTGAACTCCCAGTTCACCTACTTAAGAAAAAAGAAGGATTAAACAAGGAATGCTTACACATGCTATTGAAATAGGTCTCTGGAAACAAGTTCATGAATCTATCAAGTATGTTGAACAAATTAGCTGTTATCACACAAGAAAGAATCAAAATACGAAGAACACACCAATCTGCAGAATGCATCTTAGTTTAATGACATCTGACAGTAATCACAAAGCATGAGCTTAGACGTTTAAAGGTCAACAATAAAAGCATTGTACTCTTTCTGGACATTTCATCAAGTTCTTCCCTCATTCCTATCTATTAAATTGATCAGTTCAGATTGAGCTATCTCAAATATATTGAAGCAACAGCAATCCCGTGGATTCTTGGGATCCTTTAAGTCACTTTATACAAAAGTGTGACATTATCAGCTCAGTTTCTTTGAAATTACTCTTATTTTAACAAAGAGAGTAGTAAAAAAAAACAAAAAGAAAAAGCAAAACGATGATCCATTTTTGAAAAAGGAATCAGAGTAGGTCTACAAGGTAAGACAAATTGGACCATCCAAGTCCGAACCATTTAACATAGCCATAAGAACCACCTATTATATCAGTGGTGTAGAAAGTCAATTTGGTGTATCAAACATTTCTAACCTCAGAAGCAATGAGCTAAGCACTTTAATAACAATATAGCACAAAATTGACCCGAGTGACTGATTTCACTACTGAATACAATTACACATACAATACAAACATAAAATCAGGCCTAGTAACTAATTTCAACATCAAATAGTTTCACCTTAGAACATTAACTTCCTATAATCTCAACGTACTTAATCTTCGATTAAAATCAAGTTCACCAACCGGCACTAAGCAAGAAATTAGCCATTGCCCACTTCATACATATACGACGCAAACAAAAATCTTTATATCCCATCAAACAAACACAAGGATTTTCTTCATAAAACCAGTCTACAAGCCAACGAAAGATCCCCATTAAATTCCAACTCTAATGGCTAACATCAACACAAGTTTCAACAACAAACCACAACTACTAAACCCCACTTTAATCTTACTAATCTAACCACAAAACCCATTCAATTCATTCAATAACTAAAAGCAAAACAACCCACAATTAAACTAGACGAAAAAAAAAACAGAGAGAGAGAAGAAAAAAAATCAAGAAAAAAGGACTAACCAAGATCGCCGCCACGTTTAGCAGAGCTACAATCAGAGATTCTAGAAGCAACATCCTCAAATTTAGCCTTGCCGGAAACAATATCCTCTCTAATTGCTTTAAGTTGAGAAACAGCGGTATCCCTACTCGTGTTTTTAATAACACGACCTTCTGGGTCTTTCCATGACGCCTTCCTTCTTGAACCCTCATGTTTTATAAGTATGTGTGAGGCTCGAACTTGAGTCCCTGATGATGCCATTTTAGGTCTCTTTTTGTGCTTCTCGCTTTCCCTTTGAGTTTCTTTGTGTTTTGGTTTTGACGGTTGTGCTCGATTTCGATCTTCTTGTGAGATCGAATCTTTCTTCCTCTTTCGATCTGAATCTATTTTTGCTGCTCTTTCTGACTGAGTTTGAGCTTCTATGTGTGCAGTGGTTTTTGTTGGTTTGTACAATATAGTGCCCCGCCGCGTGGCTTCGATATCACAAGTTATCTACCAGATTTTGCATGATCGTCAACCTCTGTGGTCCCCTTTTCCTCTTTTTATTATTATTATCATCAGGGTTTAAATTATAGACTCAAAGCACGGCTGTATGGGATAAATACTCTTTCACTAATAAACTCAATAGTTTCCATTTTCTAAAACATTTATCCATCATTTTATAAATAAAAAATTCTCTCTCGCTATTATTATTATTATTTTGCAATACTAACATTATAATAGACTATCAATACTGTTAAGTAAATTCAACCCCATCTGTAATTAAAAGAAATGTCAATTCTGGTAAAATTATTAATTTCTTAAAAACTAGATTTTTTATTTATTTATACGTATTTATAAAACTCTAAATAACATTAAAAAAAAAACTTATCTAAAAATCACTTCTAAAATATATAAAAAATATTAAAATATTAAAATCCGAAAATAAGTAAATTACATTAAAAAAAATATTAAATTAAATCCTTAGTTAGCTTTTTATTTTTATTTATTATTTTCTCACATTATATTTTACTCCTTTGAGCAAACTTTTATAATATTAAAACAAGTAAGATTTATTAAATAATTTTTTTTTTAGTAATTTATATAAGAGTTATAAATATTTATCCTAACTGTTAATTATTACTTATTACCATCAAAACTTAAAAACAAGCTAATAAAAAGCATAAAATGTTAAGATATAAAAAATAAATTACATTAAAATTCATATTAAGTTATCAAATTTAATTTTTAATTAATTTTTTTCTAAGCTATATTTTATTCATTTGAACAAAAACTGATAATATTAAAAAATAAATTATAAAAATTTTATTCATATTTATATTATTAATTTATGTTTATGTCATATATAATTGAAAAGAATAGTTTAAATTAAAAACGGTTCATAATAACATAATGTTTGGTGAAATTTTTTACTTATTATTATTTTTAAAATTTATATATTTCTTTTAATTGTTAAATAATTTCTGAAAAATAATTCAATATTTGACCCAAATTTTTATCTAAGTTCAGTTAAAAATTATTTTACATGATTCAGGAATAAAAATAAAAATAATTTAATTATAATTATCGAAATTCATATCAAGTTATTTTTAAATAAAATAATGTTTATTTAACAAACATTCAAATCTATTCATTTATAAATAATTTTAAACAATTTATTAGAAATTATAAAAATTATTGTAAATTAGTTAAATGATACATGTGCAAAGCATATGTCAATAAACTAGTAAAAATAAAATGTATTTCTAAATTATTTTTTAAAATTAATTATTCAATAAAAATAAGGATAAATAGGTCAATTTGTTTTTATGTAATAATCTGAGTTTTCAGTCTATCTTTATATTTTTAATTATATTTATTATATTTTTAAATAATATTGAAGTTCCTAATTTATTATTGGATCAATTTTTCCGACCATTAGTATTTTTTTTTTACCATAATTCCTCTTAACTAAAAAAGTAAAAAAAACTAAAGTCACATGGTTTGCATTTCTCATATATATATATATATATATAACCAAGGTTATTTCTGTTAAAAAAATTGTCCATGGTTAAAAATCAATAAAAGGAAAAACAGATTAAAAACTTATATAATATTTAAACACATAATAAATATAATTAAGAATGTAATGAAAAGTGTAAAACTAATCTATATTATATAATGAGAAATTGACCATTTTACTCTAAATAAATAAGAGTTGAATGGTTTAACATATTGATCAAGTTATAGAATTATACTTTAAAGACAAAAAGTGTGTTAAAATTGTTTACCTTTGATTGGCTTGAAAAGCATGCTTAAACTATTTTCAATAATGCTTTCTACTTTTAGCTAGCATTTTTAATATAAATAAAAAATATTATTAATTATATAGATTGAAGATCAATGTCCTCTCTAATACTATTTTTTATTTTAACAAAATCCATAAAACCCAAAAAAACTATTGATGAAGAAGCTAAATAACATAAAAAATAATAATTTTCATTAATAAAATATAAGATAAAAAATTATTTAAACTCTCTGATATTTAAAAGCTAAAAATACTCTATATCTTAATTTTAAAAATAAAAATTATAATAAATAAAACATTAAAAATAAAATTTAAATCAAACCTTTTTATTATAAAAAAAATCTTAAAGAATATATTAAAAATGCTCTTATATGTTTTACAGAAGGCAGTGAAGGCTCTAGATATTTGGAGCCCAAACGTGGCTTTTCAGCTAATAAGCCCATAGGCCCGTCAAACCTTCTGCTTTTTACACCATCAATTTGTTGTATTGCCTTTCAGATACGCAGTTGAAACAGCTGAAATCCTTGAGTTAGCACCATCAGTTTACGGTAATTGCAAATGAGATTTTAGTGCTTCGTCTAGTTTTGATTTCTGAAGGAACTCTCAAATTCAACTTTGAGACATTTAAGAGTCAAATGTAACAGAATCCCAAATCTGGTATGATTAATTCAATTCTTAATGATTCATACACTTTCTCAGTATCCAAACAGAAACACAAAATTGAAGCAAAACACAACACACAAAAATTAAAAAAAAAACACAAAGCAAGTAACAAGAGCCATTCATTCCAATATCGAAAGAGAGATAGATACAGTACACTTTGCTAGCTAAAGATACAGCTATCCACGATCCAGTTCTAAAACATCAAAACCAAATCAACCCAGCACACAAATTGCAAGAATACCCTAACTCAAATCCCTTAACCACCAAAGCCATACAAAGTACGGCCTTGTCTCTTCAAAGCATAGACAACATCCATAGCAGTCACCGTCTTGCGGCGAGCATGCTCTGTGTAGGTGACAGCATCACGAATCACATTCTCCAAGAAGATCTTGAGGACGCCTCTGGTTTCCTCGTAGATAAGCCCACTGATACGCTTGACTCCGCCACGCCTAGCCAGACGACGGATGGCGGGCTTAGTGATACCCTGGATATTATCGCGAAGAACCTTACGATGCCTCTTGGCCCCTCCCTTTCCCAATCCCTTTCCTCCTTTTCCTCTGCCTGACATTTTTTCCTTTCCCTTCTCGTCTCTCGATTTCTTGATTTTAATGATTCGCGATTTGATGATTTTGTTAGCTTCCTTCGATTTGGTGTCTATTTTATAAAGAGCGATGTGGAGTGGTGGCCGTTGGATTAAGTTGCGATCCGCGTGAGTTGTGGTGTTTGGGTTTTGAACCGTTGGAGTTTAAGGGATTGAATGTGATTGGTGGAAATGAGGAGAGCGGGATCGTGGTTTTCTTCGGCGAAAGAAAAGTGGAAATTTTTAAGCGCAACTTCTTTGCCGCGTTTGATTAGACAAAAATTTGAGAAGGGCGCGTAGTAGGTGGACCTTGTCATGGGTTTGGCAACTGGAATGTGGAGTGAGCCCATGAGATGAGAGGGTTTTCATGTTAAGCATCGGGATTGTATTTTTTAAATCAAGGGTTCTATGTGAAAACAATTTAATTACAGAAACAAAAGAATACAATTTTATAAAAAATATATAAGAACTATAAGTTTAATGGGTTTAATGGCAAAAATTGCTCCCGTTCTATTGTAACTTAGCAATTTCGGATATTTGGTATCAAATTACGTAAACTTCAAAATGTCGATTTTTTGAATGAATTTAATCCAAATTCCCTAATTTTTGTTATTTGTAACAGTCAATTCAATTGACTATTAAGTAGAATGTTAAAAAGATCTCGTTTTGTGCAATCTGCTGTTAATTTTTTTTTTTTTTGTAAATAGAATTAAGGGGTTAAATTTGTTATTTGAACAAAGAAGGAGGAAACGAATCAGGCTAATGATTTGGCTTCGGTGTTTCCTAGTCAAATCAAGCTGAAACGGTCCAGCACGTTTTTGGTTCAATTTAATTTCATCTTCCTTTTTTATTGCTATTATTCTCTACTATAAATCAAGATATCAATTTTTAGTCGATGTGGTGGTTGTAAGGGTTCAAGACAATGGTATTTTGGGTTGATTCATGATGGTTTGACAGTGGATTCTCGATGGTTGTCAAGTTGAAAGGCTAGCAGAGCTGGAATCAGAGGTTATGATAGTGGCGAGGAGCTGTGATGTTGAGGCTTGTCTATGGGGGAAGGAGGCACTAGACAATGATTTTTAAGCTACGTGAGGGTTTTGGGTTTAATGGGATCAGGCTGAGAGGAAATCTAGGTTGCCAAGGTGAGGGAGATTGGTGGCAGTGGGATGGGGTTGCTGCTATGACAGAGGTCTATGGTAGTGGCTGTGATGGGTGGAGTTGTTGTGACAACGATCGACGTTAGTGGTCGTAGTGGGTTAATTTGTTATTCGAGCAAATAAAAAAAGGAAAACGAGTCGGGCCTATGATATAGATTTGGTGTTTTCTAGTAAAAAAATTTTTTTTTTAAAAAATAGTAGAATGTATAAAACGACATCGTTTTTACATTTCATTTAACGTTCAACCCAATTGACCATTACAAATAATAAAAATTAAGTGGTTTGGATCAAATTTGCTCAAAATTGAGATTTTGGAGTTCAAATTATACAATTTTATACTAAAAATCTGCAATTACCAAATTGCAATGAAACAAGGACAATTTTTTCCATTAAACCAATTTTAATGTATATGATTTGAAAATTAGTTGCAATATAATTTTTAATTTATTGATTGGTAAGCTAATTAATAATATTCACTATTTATCCATTTTGGAAAATTATATACCATTTTTCAATGGATGATCCTCAATCTTTCTTGTAGGTTTTCAATATTGCAAGCTATCTACTAATATAAACATTTATCTCTTTTTTCTTGTTAAAACATGAAATTTTATTTTGACAAAAATATTTTCTAATTGATTTTATTGAACAACAACCAATTGTCTTGTATCTTTATAAAACTCAGTTGAATCTTATGTTTGTTCAAATTCTATCATTCAAGAAAAATAACTTCCACTAGGATTAAAATCCTTAAGAAATTTAGCATTTCTTACCTCTATTGTTCTTGTATTATGAGAAGGATAATAAAACATACATCCTTTGGAGTTCATTGTATAACTAATGAAATGTTTAATCGTTGTTCTTAGATCCAATTTTTCTAATTAAGAATTATAAATCTTTACCTCAATAGGACAACCATATACTTGTTTATGATTTAAACTAGATTTTCATTCATTTCATAACTCAAAGGATGTATTTTTGATAGCTTTAGATGAAACATCATTTCAAATATGTATAATATTCTTTAATGCTCCATTTTATAAGGTTAACGATAGATTAGAATTACTAATCATGCTCCTTATCATGTCCATAAGAGTACGACTCCTTCTTTTAGCTACACCATTTTATTATGGTGTGCCAAGCATTATGTATTGTGTGATAATGCGTTAATAAACTTTGCAAATAGACCTTGCATTTGTCTATTTTCGGTGCCTCTACCATAACACTCTCTAACTCTACTTGACCTTACAATCTTAGTGATATTTTTCTTTTGTTTCTTTACCTCAGCCTTATATATCTTAAAAGCATTAAGCTTTTCAGCCTTATCAAATAAAAGATAGAGATCAATTAATTTTAAGTAGTCATCAATGAATGAGATAAAACATATTAGACCAATTAGGTAAGGAGTGTTAAATGGTCCATATATATCGATATTTATGATTTCCAAATTTTATGAGCTCCTTATGATATATTTAGCGAGTCTTGTTAGTTTGCTTTTTTCTTTATGCAATCTACACAAGTACAAAAATCAGCAAAATCAAAAGTGTTTAAAGCTCCATCATTCACCGATCTTTTAATTCTTTTAATAAAAATATAACCTAATCTCCTATGCCACAATATAAATGAATTCTCACCAATTTTGCTCTTTTTAATACCGAGTATTCGCATGCATTGATAAATAGTTGATTTTTAAAAAATAAGATCCAGATCAATTTTATATAAATCATCTATTTATGTTTCACTATTAATAAAAATTTTATTTCTCAAAATACAAAAAATATTTTTATTAAACAAAAATCCATTACTAGCACTCGTAGAGTTTGGAAACTAAAATAAAAATTCTAAAAAATGATGGAACATAAAAAATAAAAAATAAATCCAAATTTTAAATTCGATCTAAAAGTCCTTTCTACTCTAACTTCAAAGCACATCCAATTCCCGGAATAGATGTCTCCTTCATTTCCTTCGCCTTTTTTAGATCCAAAAAACTTTGCATGATATTCACAATAGAGATTCTAAAACCATAATCAATCCACCATGTATTACTATGAGTTCCAATGGAAAAAAAATTCACGACACACTAAAGACATGAGTTTACCTTTTTTTATGAGCTATTTTTTCACGTACGACAATCTCTTTTAACATAACTTTGTTTCCTACAAAAGAAACATTTAATATGATTGTTGTTTTTCTTTATTGGTATATTCTTATGTTTCTTTATTTCGAGCACGTTTTTACCTTTATTGGCATTTCCTTTAATTTGAAAAATGAAATGGCATTTTAGGTTTTTTCAAGTTTCAATCTTCATTATTCTTGAACACACAAGGTCAATAATTCATTGATTAAGTATTTCTCTTATGTGTGTTGTAAGAATCTTAAATGAATCATATTATGCAAGGAAAGACTTCAAAATGAAATAAATTAAGAATGACTCATAAATATTCACCTCTAAGAACTTTAATTGAGAAGCGAGTGTCCCTCGTTTTTTATAATATGCTCGCACACACCTTTTGAATAGTCAAATGATTTATCCAAAAACTTTTTTCATTAAAGTGCTAGTAATGCCTTATCGAACGAACTAAATTTTCCTCTATGGTCTTTATGAAATATTTTGTCTTAGAGCATTCGGGATAAAACCTCCAATACTCTTATTTAAGTGAGATTTTATGAGTATTAAACTTAATCGACTAAATCATTTCCAACGCTCATAATTAGTTTTTTCTTAAGAATCACTTGAGTTTGTAGAGATGGGTGGTTCAACCACACGTAAGGCTGAATCTAAATCCACCAACCTCGATGCAAAGATAATAGTTTCTTTTTAGTTAACAAAATTATCACCACGTAACATTAGAATACTATATGTATCAATAAAAATAGTAGAAAAAGCTGCAATAAGTAAGAAAATATCTTAATGCTATGAAAAACATATTTTATCTAAATTAACCAAAAATATCTAAATTTACCAATGTCAAGTTAGTAGCAAATTCTAACTTTTTTTTTGGATAAAGGTTGCATCATGTATAGAACTGATTAATGCTTTGATAATAAAACTGATAAATAAAATATAAAGAATAAATAATATTCACACTCGAAGACCTATAATAAAATCCATCTTTAATATTCATTTATAACCTTATTCTAGTTAAATCATAAAAACAACAATCTTCCTATAGTGGCAAGTCATTATTTTTATGAAATAATTGTCAATTAAATTGTGCACTTTATGAACATATTAATTTAATAAATTTTAATGTGATTATTGAAATAACTTAAATTGTTGTGGCTATTCTTAAGCCGATTGACATCACCATCTCAACATAGCACGCTTTAATATCAACCGAAAATTTTGTATTGATATATCAAAATTATTGTATAAACCATATCATGATTTTTTCTTAACATATTTTTGTATATAATATATATTAACAAATATCTAAAATATTTATATAACTAAAAAAAAAAATTGAATGTATCAAATTAGCAAATAATTTATGTGTGCGTAATTTGCTTATAGTATATTCTACTCGATTAAATAACCTAACATCAATAATTGATAAATTCTATCTTGCAAATCAAATTCCTTAATTTGCGAAAGAGAGATAGCAATATAACAATCTTGTTGGAGCAACAACCCCTACCCGACTTTATTTATCTTTATAAAGTAGATTAAACTAGTTTTTTTTATCTGTGCTACGTTATGTATAGGAGAAAATACATAAAATTATTTTTTATTTTTTTTATATCCGAGTGTTATATTATGCGTATACCGTAATATATTACATCAAAACGGAATAAAAAATTCATTCGGTTTCATAATTTTTTAATTAAAAT